TCCGCATCGAGATCCCTCGGGAGAGCGTCTTCAGGGCATGCTTCGATGGAAGTAATGATCTCTTGAAAATATTGCTTCTTGTCACGCGACTCCACCAAAACTTCGAGGGGCGAGGAGTAGAAGAAAGACCTGAAGCGTTGTTTCAGCTGGTATGGTCCCTCAATTGAAGTCGGGGGTGTTTTTGAAGAGCTCGACGGAGTGACCTCTGCAGACAGCAGAATATCGAGGATTGAAAAAGGATATTCCTCGATGACAGCTCGATATTCTGATTCATCTCCTGGAGCAGGCTCATTTATCTCGGGTAATGATGCCGAGAGCAACTCGACAGAAGGCATCGCAAAAGGAGGAGAATCCAATTGCTCTGCGAAAACTGGGGAAGAAGAATCCTGGACTTGGACTAAAGGGATATTTACTAAAGAAAAATAATTCGAAAGGGTGAATCGAAAAATCCTAAAGAATAATGAAATAGAATTAAACAGTAAAAGAAAAATTAATACTAGGGGGAAGGAGAGCAAGAGAGGTTGAGGCAGGAGGAAGACTCTAAATAGCCTCAGGTTGCTGTAAATCGAAACAAATATCAGAAAAGGAAATGCATAAGAAGTCAAATAAACATACATACAAAAAAGTTGAAAGTTGTACCTCAGGAATAGGGGTTGATGATTGAAGTTGAGAATCGACATTTGTCGATATAGTCGCCGATGGATGATCCTGAAAAATATCGAGAATCAAAATCATGTAACAAGATCTTATCGAAATCTAGGAATATAAAATGATGTAAAAAAGGGACTTACGTGACTGGAATGTGTGGTGGGTGTTGTTTGACCCGCTTTAGTGACCGTGTTGGAGTCCGTCGATAATGGATTGATGGTAGATGGTTGAACAGATCGAGGACTCTTCGATTTTTGTTTCTGAAATTAGAAATCGAAAAACAACAGAAAAATGTTAGAATCCAAATGAATCGGCTATAGACAAAAAGATAGATAAGACAATAAGGAATCGAAAAGAACCTTCGATTTTTTCGAAGATGAAGAAATGGTGACCGAATGCTTGCGTTTCCTAACGAAGGCCGATGGGTCTGACTCATCCGAGGACTCTCAGTCCTTCTCCTTCTCGGAGGCAACAATCTTAGAAGGCTTTGAAACTGTCGAAAAAAGAAAACAACTAACTCACAATATAAAGAAATAAAAAACATTCCTAGAAAAGGCAGCAAAATCTCACCAAAAGGTGATGGAGTCAAAATCGTGACTCGATCGATATGTACAAGCCAAGGAGGAAGAAGAATTTGAGGGAGATTTAGGTAAGGGAAATAAGACAATTTCGATACAGAAATGTCCTTGTTTTTAGGTTTGGGACGAAGAGTTTCTCTTAGGGATCTCAGTTCTCGAACCCATTTGGGATGAGTTAAAGGTTTGGCAATCCCAAAAGGTGCTGTAGGAAAAGTGGGAAGGTGGTCGGGACAATACATTTCAAATGGGGTTTTACCTCGAGGATTAATTATTTTGTGATTCGATCGGTTAGTGTTTGTCTTATTGGCTAAGGAAATAACAGCGTCATAAAAGGTCAATTCTAATTTCAAAGGGTTGTAACAAACTCGATAAAAATTCTCGAATCGAGATATTTGAAGATAGTGGGAGTGTGTACCTTTCTTCACCTTTGATTTGTCTTGCAACACAAGAAAAGGATGAGCAGTCAATTTTTGTCGGACTTCGTCAAAATCAGAATGATTACTCGAGAACCAATTGGCCCACCATTGAGAAAAATCCAGGGTTGATAAATAATTAGACTAAAAAACATAAGGATAAAAATGCATCAGGGTTTTTGGTAGCAGTTTGGTGAGCTCCCGTCCAATTGTCGATTCACTTAACTTGGACTTTGGGGAGGTATCGAGGGGGAAAAAGGTAAGGCTTGACTCAAACCAAACTGCCTCGAGAAAAGTTGGGGGTAATAGGTGACAAGCTTAAGATCCTTTGAGTGAAATCCCGACACTAACACATCGTGAGTCAAATAACTGCTCCATACTTCGACCAATTCTGACTGTAGCCCCGGAGTAAGAGCAGGAAATCTCGATTTAAACCACGTTGGTCCTCGAAGTTGGTCACTTATTCGTTCGAGATTCACAGTGAAAGGAGCCAAAGTTGAGTCAAAATGAAACCTAGTTAACAAAAACTTAAGGTATCTACAATAAGTCGCTTCGTCGGGTTTGTGGCGAGGATGGCGAGAAGATAATCGAGCACTCTCTAAATATACACTTGGGGGGATGTTGGAAGTTGGGGGAAGGATACTCTCAAAAATCGAATTCAGCCATAACTGGATAAACCAAATGGGGCCTGAAAAATTCCCCGAAGCTCTGGGGGTATTCAAAATCTCGACAGCCTCATCTAAAGTAGTATATACATGGGCTAATAAAAGTTTGGCTAAACAAATTCTAGGCTGGCCGGTGTGAAGGAGATAGGCAAGGTTATACATGTGGGATGAAATTTGGATGGATCGGGGGCAGAAGACGTGAGTGCACAACCAGTATACCAAGAAAGCAACGTGCTCCTCATCAGAAACAGAAACTGTTGGATCATCGATAAAATGTTTCTCGAGAAAATGACCATAGGTTTTCGATTCCCAATCGATTTTTGACCTTAGGGAATTATCCGAAGGAAAAACACCCTTATAGTACTTCTCCCCTGTGGGCTTCAAACCAGTAATTGCAGCGACTTCGAAAAGGGTGGGCGAAAAGGGACCACAAGGGAGTTTTAACGCATGCAGGTCCTTATTCCACAAATGTACAGCAGACAGAAACATAGTCATATCCAAAAATGACAAATCGCATCGAGATAAATGCAAAAAATCGAAAATCCCCACGTCTCTCCAATGGTTCCCAAACTTAGTCTTGACCCTATCAAACCATCTAATGTACAAGGGTTTTTTGGAGGGGGGGCCCGTTTGGTACACTTTAGATACAACATTCAGAAAGTCTATCTGAACTTCAGATTGATGAATGGGAGCTTGGCTCTTTGGAGAAAGATTGAGGGAAGAAAAAGTTTCGCCACGAGAACGCATAGGACCCCCAAAAGCATAAGTTATATTATCAGCAATATAAGGGATGAGTACACTGCGTCTCGGCGACTTTCGAGAAGCTTCCTCCATTAGAGGAGCCGGAGCAAATTTCTGGTTGTTGATCTCCAGCGGGTTAGAGGCCAACGAGGGAAGTGGTGGGGCTGAAAAATCAGAAGATTTGGAAGAGATTGCCATTTCAGGAGAGTAGAGGAAAACAGAGGATATAAGGTGAGGGTGCAAGGTCGAGGACAAAGACGCAGGGTAGAAGATGAAGTTACAAAAGAGGAGTAAAAGTTCGCGTAAAAAAACCAGGGTAAAAGACCAACAAAGTGTTTAAAGGAAAAACTATCTAGGGTACTGGAAATGACGGAGGCGAAGGGCAATTAATGTGGCGTGTACAGTAAGGCAGCAGACTAATGTGATGGTGACATAAAACCCCAAAAACCCTAAAAAACCCCAGAAACCCTAAAATCTAAGTTATTGTGGGCCTCCAACACGCAAAGGCGGGAATCATATTGAAAGAATATAAACAGAAACTATTTATATTCTTCCAATGGGGCATTTTGTTAGTGAGAAATTGATAAAGGGATCGAGAAACAAATGGGAGCAAAAAATCGAAAACCATTTTGATTGAGTTAAAGATTGATAAATCGAAAGATAGTTGGAAAATACGTTCGACGACCATGTGACAATATGATCGAGAATTAGAATCGAGAAATCGAAGGAAGAATGTTTTCGAGAAATTAAAATTTTGTAATGTTAAAGTTAAGGAAAACCAAGAGCAATTCAAAGTTCTCGAGATCAAGAGATCAAAATCAAGAGGAAGGCTAACCTACGTGGATATCGAAATCTCGGCTAGGTCATAAAGAGGGGAACAGTTAAACGCGCACATAGGAAACAATTTCTAAACCGTGGTAGAGGTCGAAGATCATGGGAACGTGGGTGCAGTTTTGATACCGAAGAAGAAACTGCAACATGCACGTAGGACGTGGTAGCAGTTTTCGTTAACTGCTCCTAAGAGGTTACTTGCTTAAAGGATACCCTATAAATAGAGTGAAGGAGGAAGGAAGAGGGGGAAATTGGCAGAGAGAGCAGAAATACTAGTGAGAAGTCTACCGGAGAACGACGAACATCATGAAGTTTCTGGCGATCTGGATTTCCATGTTCATTGATTTCCTTTACCGTTTTCTTTATTTTCCCTAGTAATTTGCTTTGATGCAGTTTATGTTTAACAACTTTAAGTTTCTGTATTTTCGATTCCTTGTCATTTCTCTTTAATGAAAGTTAAGTTTCTGCGTTTAAGTTCATTGTCATTTACATTAACGTAATTTCGATTTTCTGTCATTTACATTTCTGCAATCTCGATTTCCTGCTATTTACATTTCTGTAATTTCGATTTTCTGTTATTTATATTTCTGCAATTTCGATGCTTTGTCGTTTACACTTAATGCAAATTTGAGGTTTCCGCATTTTTCATTCCTTTGCAGTTTTACATTCGGTATTGCTTTTCGATTTGTCACTTTACTGTTTTCCTTATTTCGAGTACTTCAAATACAAAATACCAAAAATAGTGCTTTCGATTATTTAATCTTAGTATTTTCTATACAGTGGTATTTTCGATTCTCATACGCATTTCGATTGAAATTCAGTTGCTAGCCTAAGTATAAAGAATCTACATGGTTGAGTTTTGGTTAGAATCAAAGCCTCTTAAGAATCGAAATTAATCAAAATTTCACGAGAAACATCCAAATAATTTTTTCTGTGTCATCGGATTTTTGTCACTGGGGATATCGGTACGTAAATCTTTCACTGCATATATCAGCACAATCACATTCACAATAAGAGTAAAATAAATTTCTTTATTGATTAAGAAAATAAAGACACACAACCTTAAATCATTTCATATATTATTCATTAATTAGTCTTATACTTCCTGCGTCAGATTTAATTACATGCCCTACAACAAGGAATATGGGCCTATACACAGATATATTGAGGCCTTGGACAAGCTGGGAAGGGATGTGATGCAAACAGGAGATCCAGACAAGTTCAAGCAATATCTGTCGAAATACAAAAATACTATATGCGGATGCCATCCAATAAGTGTTTATATGCAAGTAAGCGTTCGAAATATTATTTTATTATTTTTTTAAATAAATAAAAATATTATATTATTATTTTTATTTAAATAATTATAATTAAAATATTATTAATATTTGATATTTTTATCATAATTTTTATTTTATAGAACATAAAATATATAAATAAAAAATATATTTATATGATATATATTAAAAAATGAACGTCCACAAAAATCCTAGAAATTAATATCAGTATTAGAATTTTGATTCTTACTTTAAAAATGGAATGAGAAAAAAATAAATTCAAATTTACTATTGTTCGATGAGCAAAGTTACAATTTATGGATAATGAGAATGTAATCATATATTGAAGATTATATATATAGAAAGTTGTGAAAAAGAATTATATTATTAACCGACTATGAATAAATCTTATTATAGCCCAAATTAAAATTCATAGAAAAAATTGAGAAAAATAAAAACAAAATCATATTTATATCAGGTATTTTATAGATGATTCTCGTCACAAACATAACCTTAAGTCATTAAAGTAATTTAAAATTATTTGAGATAAGAATATAAAGTATTCATAAAAAGCGGTAGAAAAGCTTTGAAAGAGAAAATCCTAACGACCAACTAGACCAACATCATTACTGGAAAACAATACTCCAAAGAGTAACAATCATTCAAGAAAAAGTTGTTAGAGATACAATAAATATTAAAACAGGTGCACCTTATAAAGAAGACAAAAGAGATCTTGAAAATTAAAAACAAGACTCTTAAATAAAAAAGATGAAAAACTTGAAAAATGTGATTATAAAATTGAGAAACTTAAAGTTGAGTTAAAAAAAATTAAAGTAGTTTAAATCTATCGTATATTTGCCTAAGAAGGATAAGAAAAAGAAGATGTGCTTTCAAAAGATGTCTTTTTCGCCATACATTATGTGGATAAAAGATAAATGAAAAATCAAGTAAGTCAATTTTGACATGTTATGATTAAATAAAAGATTCTTAATACAGAAAACAATCATTTTAAGAAAAAATATCATGTTAAAAAAAAGATAACATAAAAAAGAACTATTATAAGAATAAATATCAAATTAAAAAAAAGTTTGTTTACGACTAATGGTAAAAGAAAAATACAATAATATGACTACAACATTGAATAAAATGATGATTATATATAAAAAATAAAATAACAAGAATTACAAACAAAAGAAGAAAAAGAAGAAAAAAATATCAAATTCAAATAAATGTAATTAAGATAAAGAAAAATATTAAAAATATTATTTTATTATTTGTTATTTAAAAGAAGTATTAAGTAATTTTTATTATTATTTAAAAAAAATATAAAATTATTATTTTGATTTAGATAATAATAATTGAAACATTATTAATATTTAATATTTTATTATATTTTTATTTTATATACATCTGAATAAAAAATGTCGGATAAGAGATATATTAAAAGATACATATACGCAAAGACTTTAAAAATTCTCATTAATAACCTCTAAAATTGTCATTATATGGTATCTAGCGGAGTTTAGAAAGGAATAACATTTCTATTGTTATTTTGTTATACTCTAGTGGAGTTAAGATTGTCCGAGTTACTATTCTATCAATCGAAATAGCATGATTTGTATTACTACTCTTTTTGATGAGGACCAAACTTTTTTCTTTTTATGTGTCTGCATATATATATATATATATATATATATATATATATATATATATATATATATATATATATATATATATATATAAAGCTTACCAAATTAAACGTGATTTTCTGTTAACCTTATATTTACTCTGTATTTTGAAACGTGGATCAGATGCTGAAGAATTGCTCGACAAAGATAAAGATAGAATTTCTTCGGTATGAACAGTTGAATCAGTGCAAAAGTGCAAGGGATAGCAGCGTGAGTTATGCATCAGCGGTAGCAAAGATTGATGGCTCCAGCTCTGTATGAAGATTACCATTCTTTGACGGTGGTTAGTAGTGACGGAGTTTCTTGAAAGTGGGAGATTATATTAATTTGTATTAATATTAATTATAGTTGTTTATATATTTATAAATTTTATCTCTTATTATTTTTTATTTTTTATTGTTTTATATTTATTTATTATTTATTAATAATATAATATTTTATTCTTCAAAATTAATTATCAATATATTTTTATCATGTCTTGTGGAATTTATCATTTTTATTTGATAAATTTTAACATTGACATAAAATATGCATAACAATTGTTTGGCCATATAGAATACATTTAAATATTTTTTACGTGAATTCACTTTAATTTAAGATTTTTAAAGTCAATGTTTAATTTAATTTTGTAAGTAATTGACTTCAGCTTTTTATTGTCTAAGTACTATAGTTTGGTATTTATAATATAATAGTTTCTTTTATTATACATTAACACTTGTGTTAATTTAGAGTTTAATTTGTAATCATCGTTTTTATTACCAATTGTTGTAGGTTCCAAAGTGTATATCTCTCATTTTTTTTACTATTCACGTATGGAAACAGTTCGATTTCAGGAGGAAAATGATTTTCCTATGTTGTAATAGTAAATTTGTGGATGGAAATGTATATGAACGAATATTATGGTTAACATTGCAAGCAAATGGATAGAACATAAACTGAGTGGCGTGTTGTTGAATTTATCTAAATGTTTAAAGTAAAAAACTAAATGAGGTAGAAGAAGGAAAACAAGGACTGTTTACTTGGAGAAAACAATATATCTTATTTTTCACTTTTAATTGGAAAATTTTCAGATGTTTTACATCTATAATTATAAATTTTCTAAAATAAAAAACCGTAGAAAAGATTATATCATGAAACAAATCAATCCGCTTTTTTTTTTCACTTTTAATTGCAAAATTAAGAAATAGCCTTTTATCAATTTTCTAAAATAAGAAACCGAAATGTCTCTATTAAGATAGAGACCGAAATTACATTTTGAATAATTGAGAAGTATCCAAATTATATTTTAATTAAATAATAATCATAATATTATAAAAATATTTTGAATAATCATTCTTATTATATAAATATTTTCAATAATTAAGGAAACTTTTTTTTCTTCCTATTTTAGTAAACAATACAAATGCATCATTATCTAAATTTATTTCTTCTCTATTTCCCCATCCTTGGGTCGGGTTCGGGTTTCCCGCTTTAAAAGTCGGGCGTGGCGGGATGGGTAATGCAATCCCCACCCCGACCCCGTCCCGTCCCGCCCCGACTTTATATTTAAATTTAAATTTTAAAATATTAATATTTTAAAAATATTTCATTTTCTTTTTCTACTACATATAAGGTAATTTTTTTATATTTCACCAATTTTTATTTTTCTTCTACCCACTTTTTATTTTTTTTTATCTTTTTCAATCTTTTATATCAATTAATTTATTATATTATTCTCTCCCTTATCTTTCAGTTTTTCACATTTTCTTAGTCTCTCCCATCAATTTGTTTTTTTTTCAATCTTTTCAATCAATTTGATGAACACAAAGTTAATATTTTTTCTTTATCTTTTTCTAAATATTTTACATCAATCTTAGTAGTAACTAATATTAATTTATTTATAATTTATATTTATTATGTCATATTTTTTTATCTTATTATGTTTATTTATCATATATCAAATTTTATCTTAATAAAATAATTACATTTTAAAAGATTAAAAAAATTAATAATTTAAACTTTTATTACTTTAAACTAATTAAATAAGAATTAACTTATTAAATATTTTCTTATAAACTATATATTGACAACTTAAAAATGAATTAACTTATATGTATAATTAAATATTTGAATACAGTATTATAATAATAATGTTATAAATATTCAAATATTTGAATACAAGTGTTATAATAATAATAATGTTATAAATATTAGATATATATATATATATAAATAAAAAATAATTAAATATTTCTTTTACATATATATTTTAATATAAATATACTAAATTAAAATGTATATTTAATTAATAATAACTATAAATTATAAATATTTATTTATATATAAAAATATATAGTAAAATTAATTTATAATAAATATAATTATCTTTTTAAAAATATAAATCGGGAACGGGCGGGAACCCGAAACCCAACAGGGACGGGGATGGGACTTAATTTCTAACCCTGCGAGGATCGGGACGGGGATGGTTAAAAAAGTCGGGGGCGGGGACGGGGGAGGCAAAACCCGCCCCTGCCCCGTTGCCATGCCTGAGGCCACTAGAGTTGATTTTAATCTCAAGTCTATGTTTGAGTCACCCACGGGCATCCACACCGAATATGAACAAAAGAACCCTCACGACTTGAACAATCCTCTCGTCTTGACCTACAATGGTTATGTCAAAGTAGGTTCTCAAGTAGTTCTAAAATTGATTATTGTGATCCAATAAGCTGATTATTACTATACGATACAACGGTTTTTATTTTGTGATCAAGGATCCATTTCTTTAATAGCAGAAATAAAGTTCTAGAAAGAAAGAAAAAAAAAAAACCCGAAAAATCCTTGTCACCGCAGAAAAATGGCTTTCTCAATATTGAGCCAAAGCTACTCTAGAAACATACCACTACTCCAGTGATACCGAGATAAGTTATTTCAATATTATTCTGAAAGTCACTCAAAGTCGTTGCAACTATGATTCATGAATATTCTAGGGGTTAAAAAGCCCGATAAGTGAAAAATAATTAATTCAATATTGGTCACCCAGACTACTGTACTGAGTAACATCCATGTTTTTAAGGAACCAGGGATTAAGAAGGTTAGCCTTTATCATTAGTCCAGAGCTTGATACACCTGTGGCATCCATATAATTAATTTCCATGTATAGAGTTCTTTGTTTGGCTTTGCATATGTTGAACAAGTGAAGGTAGCTTATCTTGACTAGAGCAGTTCCTGAAGTGGAAGAGGAATGGTAGGCCTCCAAGTTGTACCATTTGGACCGTCCATAAGAGTAATACCAAGAACAGCCAAATCATTCCTAATTGCATCCGATTTAGCATACTCCCTTTCTATTCGAGCAGCAGCCCGTTCTTCAATCTTCTGCAAGACTTGGTCTTCTGTCAAGTTTGCGCGCTTCAAAGCTTTTTCCTTCAGCTGCAGCAAAACCTGCCGCATGCAACAATGATTACAAACAAGAAGTATTGAGCATTTGGCCGAATAATATGAATTGTGTTACAAAAACAGATACCAGAGAAACAAAATCTCAAGCCTATTCACATTTCACACTATTAGATTTACCTCTAGATTTATGCAAGCTAACTGCAGATATATCCATATAAAACCGAACAAATGTTTAATATATATATATATATATATATATACAGTATCATTAAGGAGAATTTTGTGGCAGTCTATTGCTACACTACGGCAGCTTCAGACTGGGCGGAAGGATTATTGATGTTGAATTAATCTCAAGACTGAATGGGAATTACAGATTTAGAAAAGAAAAAAGAAAACGAGGGTAGTGTAGAAAATAGATCTAAAATAATACCCCGTAAAAAAGATTGTTAAAAGAATTAAAAAATAACAATTACTCACCAGAAAGATAGAAGATAAAGGAATCAAAACTTCTACTCAATGGAATTTCTGATACGTACACATAAATTAGTGATTTGTACTCCCGATAAAATTGACAGGTTGGGTATGATATCATACCTCTCATACAAAAAACAAAAAAAAGAAAAGAAAAGAAAAGAAAAAGAAAACAGTGACAGGAAGCAATCATTTCAACGTATTCGTACCTCAGAGTAACTTGCAGGCATTAGTCCTAAAACAGGAAGGACATCCCTGATGCTCTTCTCTAAAGCTGCAAGTGATTCTAATCGAAATTGTTGTTTTTTCCCCTGCACATACATGAGAAATAACTTCAGCTACAAATGAGAAAATGGCATTTAATATCAATATTAAACTGTAATGAGATGAGATAATAACTTTAGCTACAAATGAAAAAATGTCATACCTTACGGGTATGCAGCAAATCATTGATTGATTTTAAGGGATCGGACATGCCAGCCAATACGACTGGAGTGTGAAGATCATCCGACATTGAGGTCAAAAAAACACCATGGAACTTATCAATAATATTCGAAGTATCTGGTGGAATGGAATCCTTCAAAATTGTCTGATCATGCTGATTCAAAAAGCTTTCACATTCGTGTAACGTCTGCAAATACATGAAACATTCAGTATAGTTCACACAACATATACCCTGCCTGACACAATAAAGTAATATGCCTATAGGAACACCCAGGGGGCATGCATAAAAGATGATGCGTGAAAACTGTACAGACAGACAACACAAAGCACGGAGAAATAAGGTAATTCCTGAAGAAAGTAATACCTCATATATATAAAAAATACGATCTGAAGCACTTTCAAGCTGTACATTTGAGTAGTTAACAGGAGATCGATAATGGGCACTCATCAAAAAATATCTCAAGGCCAGTGGATGGTAAATGTCTATAACCTGATTAAACAGTTTTTATGGCATCAGAATGTAACCCCTTGAAAAGTAGCCATCAACAAATAGAAATTGCAGGTCCTTGATCATAGACTTAATAGTTTTTGTCTAATAAAAATGACATTAGACTTAAATAGCATAAATTAAACCATCAGGGATGAGTCACCTGACGTATTGTGAAAAAATTTCCCAAAGATTTTGACATCTTCACAGAATCAACGGTGACAAAACCATTGTGCATCCATACGCTTATATCACTTTTCTTACATGCAGCACAACTCTGAGCAATTTCATTTTCATGGTGAGGAAACACAAGGTCAATTCCTCCACCGTGGATGTCAAAAGAGTACCCAAGATAAGCAGCGCTCATGGCACTGCATTCAATATGCCACCCAGGTCTTCCAGAACCCCAGGGACTCTCCCAAAATGGCTCCCCTGGCTTTGCAGACTGCAAAATAGTATTGGAAATCCACAATAAGTAAGTTCCAAACTAAATTAAGATTTCAAGAATCAAATAATCTTTGATTTGTAATATATAAGAGATCAACATATTTAACAGATCCATGTGAGCATTATTTGTAAATTATCACTGATATATTATACCTTCCACAGAGCAAAATCAGCAGGATTTTTCTTCCTTGAATCAACTGCAACCCTCTCACCAGCTCGATTATCTTCTAGATCTCGACTAGATAGTTTCCCATATTCTGGAAATTTTTCTACATTAAAGTATACATCCCCATCAACAATGTAGGCATACCCATTATTAAGAATCTGTCAACAAGCATGTTAACTGATCAATAATGAATCGAATCAAATCAAATCAACATTGTATTTCTTAAGCAGATTAACAAAAAAGTGTTTTATAATGAACTATGAAGATACGCATTTCATATACCAATAACGTATCAAATTAAGCTTGCGTACAAAATGGAATATGAAGAATCAGTCTAAAATTATTCAATCTTCTGGTGTCCACTTTAATGCCACAGTGAGAAATAGTACCTTCTCAATCATATCAATGATTTGGGGCATATGCTCCGAGACCTTTGGTTCCACAGAGGGAGGCAGGCAATTAAGAGTTACCATGTCTCGACAGAACTCTTCACAATAGCGCTTGCTCAAACTGATTGGATCTTCTCCTAACTCTTTTGCTCTAGCAATTATCTACATATTGAAAAGTGCAGACTAAGATCCTGTAATACCAATTAAAAAGCAGTGGGTACTTTGCATTTTTTATGTTAAAAAATGGATATAATCAAAATTCAAATGCTTGTTAAAAAATTCTGAAGGTCTAAACTCTAAATGACTAAATAAAAGCTACTATTTATAGGGTAACAACAAACAAGTGAATAGCAAAGAGACATGTAAAAGGTTTTATTAGGATAAACTTCTGTATAAGAGCTTATATGAACAGAAAATAAAAAAGGTAAAATAAATTGAGATTTTCTTATAAGTTAAAATCATTTTATGTACTTCACTTTTGTACAAGTTCTCTCATCTAACTTCTCTAGAAGTTAAGATACAAACGGTGATTTTAACTTTTGAGAGAAATTCAATTCATTTTACCTTATTTATTTTCCCTATAAGTAATTATGAAAGAGTTGACCAAAACAAGACCCAGTTCAAACCCATGACAGATTACCCACCTCCCGCATTATCAACCTCTATTAAGTGTTAATTCATAAAAATGAAGGCTTAGTTCCACAAATATCATCTTGAAGATTTTCATCTCTTCTTTAGCTGCCTAATTATTCATATTTCCAACAAGCCAAAAGCTTAACACCTTAACCTAATGAAAGCAAAGGTACAGTGAAGCTATTAAAAAAGGAGCCAAGCAATAATCTGAAAGACGCGTTACTAAATAACGAAGAAAAATGCCTCAAGGACGCTGATTAGTGTATTATGTATAAGACATATGAGATAGCAAAGAACCATCAATTTCTTTTTTTAATGTGAAAGAGAAGTAATTATAGAGAACGTAACAAGGACGCACAATAACAGGAAATAGACACTCACTCACAGACCTTGTCATCAACATCAGTAAAATTGCGAACATAACATACTTCAAATCCCAAATGCTTGAAGTATCTGCCCAATTGCCAAGCGGAGAAAGCCAATTAGTACCAAATCGAAATAGAGGGTATGAATGACTTAAACGTGTGCGAAGAGAAGAGAGAAACCTGTAAAGAAGGTCGAAATTGATATAGACGCGTGCATGTCCAATATGGCTGAGATCGTAGGCGGTGACGCCGCAAACGTACATTCCCACTTTGGATTTCACTTTGGGCTCGAAGAGTTGCTTCGTTTTAGACATGGTGTTGTGCAGCCACACCTCCGGCGCGGAATTCGTCAAGGTGAGACCGGCGGCGTCGGATTTTCTGCAATCCTTCTCCGCTGTCAACGGCGGAGATGAGGCTGCGCAGAAGGACGGCGGTTTCTTCGTCCTGAAGATGGCGGCGTGGGGTCTGGGTGGAGCGGAGCTAGGAAAAAGCGTAGAGAAGAAGGGCCTGTAGCACTTTAGAAGAGAAACGGAACCCATTTTTGCAGCTTTTCTTTTGGCCCTTACAAGTTGCAATTGCAAAAGCCTCTCCCTGTTACGGGTTATCAACAATCAGCTTGCTACCACCGGGTTCACTCGGACTCTTGGTTTAAGGTTGTAGTTTGTGGAGTGTGTTCTGTGGAGTGAAAGATTAAGAAAGAAAATAAAATATTGACTTTTTCATTATTATTATTATTATTTTTATTATTATTATTATTATTATTTAAATAGGATTGAGAAGGAAAAATATAAGAAATTTACATGACTAACAAAATCATATTTTAAGTTCTCTTTTAATTCATATTCCTTCTTATTTTAACCATATATAGTATACAAATTGTATTTAAAATATTGTTTAAAAATTAAATGATTTTTATACTTTAGAAACTTGTAAACAGTAAGAAATACCTTTTTATTTTTAATTTTTTTTATCTTACGAAACGTTTGGTAAAAAACAAATTTTAAGTTTTCAGAAAATCTAAAATTGAAAAGATATATTTTCCACATTGATTTGTTTTTAAAAAAATGTTTTATTGATAACCGATATATTCATTAGTCAACTAAATATGTTAATATAAAATAATATTTAATATAATGTTAATATTTTGTTTTATGTTGCATGTTTGGATGTCAACGTATCATCCTCTTTGTTTTTTTTTTCAGAGATCGAGAAACAATACTTTTCCAATGATTTTAATTAGTTTTCAACGTAACATTTTCGTGAAAGAAGTGAGAAACTAACTTTTTTAAAATTTATATATAAATTCAATTGAAAATATATGTTATATATATATTAGAAAATTCTGATTAGAACACTGAATGTGATTTTGTTTCATACTTGAAAATTACAAAAAAAAAATAGTCATAAATTTGTTTGGAAGATATTAAAAAAAATTATACCATTTTGTTTAAAAATAAAAAAGCAATGTGTTATTTTTATAAAAATTGTAATTTATTATTATAATCTATTTTGGTCTGAATTATTATATGAACTTAAGTCATTCGCTACATGAACTTAAGTCAACATATTAATCTATAAATTAATAAATGATATATTTTAGAATAATAATTATTTTTAAATAAAAAATATTATTTTATCAAATATATATATTATAAATTAATTTGATATATAATTAACATATTTTAAAAGTAAAAATAAGAATAAATTTATAACAATTATTTATTTCTATATAATATATAAGATTAATTATTATTTTAATCAATAAATTATTAAATTAAGAATAATAGTAATAAAAATAAATTTTTAACCTTTATTCTAAGATTAAATGAATTTATTTTCTTAAAATTTATATATTAAATAATTATATCTTAAATAATTAATTTTATTAATAAAATTTAAATTTTATAAATATATTATTTTATTTAATTAATTATTTTGATATAAATATGTTAATATTTTTTAAAATTTTTAATTAGGTCAAATTTAATTTTTTAATCTGTTGATCTAATATGAGTTAAATTAAATTAATTTTTTTTAATTATTTTAAAATATAGACGATATTAGACTAATAAAATTTCATCAAGAATTTATTTGATTCGTTGGTCAGATCGGATCGAATCGCGTGTTTTGATAAATTTAAAATATATGGTAATTTTAAAAAAGCTTTTACTTTTATTTTGATCATATTTATTGGATCTTATCTAGGAATTTTAAATTATTGTCACCATTTTATTTTTTTTCAAAATATTTTATCACAAGAATAGTTTAAAAAAATTAATTCTATCACATTTTAGTACTCAACAAAGATTAATATAATTACTATGAAATTAATTGCAATTAAGTGAAAAACTTTGAAGAAATATTTTCACAGATTTAGTTACCTACCAGATTTTTAAACATTGATTTGGATGTTAAATAGGTAAGAGGACAAGATGATATTTTATCTGTAATGGTTTACTTAGATTTCGAGAAAGATTAATTTTAAAAATTTTAGCTATTTTTTGATATGAACAAAGTATTTACAATTTATATATTTCAAACAACAGCTAACTTTATTAAAAGGCAATACTAATTTTAGAAATATGAGAATCTATAAATTATAATTTCTAAACTTTTTTTTCATTTTTCATTCATACTTTATTTTTACTGAAAGTTGAGTTTTTTTAATCTAAAACAAATTCATTATATTAAATTTTATTTAAAAAATTATACAAATTATAATCATTATTACGTGGTCGGGACTTTATTGGCATATTATTAGAACTCTAACAGAAGTTGAGGCATTATTATTTTAGAATTTCAATTGACTTTATCTTAATTTTACTCTGATAAACGTGTTAATTGATTAAGAGATAAGAGTAATATAAATTATTTCAGTCTCAAGTCTTTTAAATGTATAAAAATATAGCTAATAAAAAGGATCAAAGTAACCCCTTATTGGAACGTCAAAATTCCAATCACAGTCCATTAAACATCATCAGATTTAACTTTCAATTGAAATGAGATGTTTTGGGCGTAAGGAAACAATTATTAAAATATATATATATATATATATATATATATATATATATATATATATATATATATATATATATATATATATATATATATATCCGAAACCCTCTCTTGCTCTTTCAATTACTAAGGCTATTTTAGAATCTGGAAGCTTAAATCTTATCAATCTACATTTCTGGAGTATAGAAAACATGACCCAAATTAGATATTACAAAGTCAGCTTACCTTCTTTGGCCTAACTCGCAAACAATCAATCATACTCACTCCCTGGACCGGTTTCAGTTCTCAAAATTGAACTTAGTAGGAGTTTTCATATCTATATATTCCCCTCCTATCTATCAAAATCAAATAGCAAAAGGGATAACAAAAATAAAAGGCAAAGCAACATTGAAGATGAATTAACTAGAGCAATGCAGCCAAAAGAAATTATAAATCAAATCCTTTTTCAAGCAAAAGGACCAAAAGTGGAAATTAAGAGTTTCTACAAGTAACCCAAAAAAACTACTATTCATATTGCATAGTTACCAAGATTGACAATAAAGTGGGCAAGAGTTACGTAGAATCCTATTCCTTAGGGTTCAAATCAAACATATAAACCACTATGGGAAATTTTAGCTAATCCACAACATAAATAATCAAAAGATTCTCACTACCAATTTGTCATAAGAAAATTCTCCAATAATCGGATGTCATATTTCTTCAGCTCCAGCTTGAGGCAACCTTCCATCACTTACACCTAGTTGCTTCTTGCAGCACCAGGTAACAAGCTTGCTAATGATGGAACTCCTTGACTTCTCATTTCTTCTTGTGCACGCCTCATTTCTTCTGGATCTATTTCCATAAAAACACAATGAAGCCATCAGCATAATTTATTCAAAAAGTAGCATAATATCCTGCTTTAAAGGTCCATACAACATGAAAGAAAGGATTTCATATGAAACAAGTAAAGCAATTCATAACATCAAAAGTAAAGTTGAACAATATTTTCTATGTTTTTTAGATTTTCCCCAGTTAATCAGAGTTTAGACCTACTGGTAGTTAATGACTTAGTACGTTTTTCCTGATAAACTCATCAAGTTTGATAAACATGCAAGAAAAAATTAGTAGAAGCCCAAAAAGAGAGAAGATGCACAATTAATAGCTGAAACTTTTTAACATATACAATGTATTCACATAAAGCAGCATATACCTGTGGAACATTGCAAAGTATTCAGTTATGACTCAGTACTACAAGAAAATTAGGGGAATTTTTTTTTTTAAATTCAAGAATGGAGGGAGGGAGAAAGATAGAAGGAGCTTCAATATTTCAACTTCGATTTTGATATTTTGATGTTGCCAAGCAACAGTTAATAGTAGCTATGAGATCTGACTAATCTCAAACTTTCCTGAAGGAAATACAACATTTCACCGACACAAAGCATGTACATCCACATATATAGTCATGCAAAAAAAGAGACTCAAATGAAAAAAGTTAGCAGATTAATTTTTAAAAGCATACCCATGTTCTCCATCAATTTGGGCATGAGGAAGACAACAATCAGCATAAATCCAACCATCAGACCCATTGGACTTTTCACAACGGACATAATAGAGAATGGCTCCCTAATCTGTAGCAAGACAAAACAAAATAACACCATGCAGACATTCAGATGATAATTGAAGCAATGGGAGGGGAGACAGGGAAACAGAAACAGGAACTTTGTAGCCTAAACAACCTCGTAATATTGTTCATCCTTTAATGGCTCTAAGACAAACTCACTAAGTCCCCTCCTATTTTCTGTAAGTGCCGCCTGAATTTTGCCATGGTGTCTAGCACTTACATCAACTCGTACCTTTTTTTAATGGAGACAACAATTTAATAAATGAACATACATTGAAAAAATTATTATATTTGGGGAAAAGAATTGAGATGTAATTTTCAGGTTGAATATTCACCGGAGAAAAGAAATATCCTATTGCAGCCACTTCAATTAGATGTGTCCCTGCAGGAACATTGTGGCTTAAAGCATACACGTTAGGGAATTACATCATCTCTTAACAATAATTCGCCAGCATTAACTATAATAACTTTATAATATCAAGAACAAGAAAATGAGAGGTAGAATTAAATAGGGCTTGAAATCCCACAAACAGTCAATATGCAAATTAAACAGAAGCGGAAATTAAGTTGTAAATCAGAGGATACAATGAGAAATATCCATCAGGCCGCAGAAAAGTAACTCTTTGACCACCATTGAGTATCACTTTGATATTTGAAATTTTTCCTGGAAGAATATATTCTTTTGTTCCCACACCTGTCATAAAGATTTACCAATATCACTATACAACCAAACTTATAGCCTATATAGCAAACCTATGTACAATCAGAGGATAGATATACAACAAACAGAATCCATCAAGGATAATAAACTGTTAAATTTTCCCATTTCAATTTTCCACTTCCTACTCCTGGTAACTAAACCATGAGCTTCTCTAAATCCTGGCTAAATCTGACTTAACTAAACACCATGAGACATACTTTCTAAATGACAACACACAGTAACTGGTTCAGCACTCCATCTTCCTATTTCAATTGTTCAGATGTAGTTTATCAAAGTGACTGACGAGAGCAACCAACAAACTTCAAACCCATCCAAATTCTTTATTCAAATGTGATTTTTAACAGTCTTTCTCGCCACATGAAATTTCACCTCCTAACAATACAAGATTTGTTGTCAAGTAAAATGATGAGTGTTTACCAGGGATTCCACAATTTCTCCTATAAAAAATCATTCCGTACAAGAAAAAAAAAAAAAAAACCTTGGAGAGGTAGCAAGAATAAAATAACCGAGCAAGTTTAAACTAGGTAAGTTGAGCAATTTAATTAAGGTAAATTCATGTGAACAGCATGAACTGAGTGATTATCCAAGTACCATTACCAGTCCCAATAACTATTAAAAATCAATCTCGATGACACGGCACAATCTATAGTATCCTATCGTTATTAACCTGTTATCGTTAGACATCATAACAAATACACGTTTCATTCACAGATCGAAGTTTTTTTTTTTTTTTGTTTATCCAAAATTTAACGAACTACACATTAGACAATACTTGGGATTTAGATTAAATAATAAATAGAAAATGAAGTAAAAGAAAGAACGTACTGGGGATCTTCACTCGACCATAAATAGTGTAACCTTCGGTGGACCTGGAGAAATAGATTCGATAAAATAAAGGTCAATGGAAAACAGATTGCAAAGAGAAATTAGGGTTTAGGGAATACGGAATTGATACCCGGTGGCAGGGGATTGCGCGAATGAGAAGGCTAGAAATGAGAAGAAGAATTGAATGAATAGAAAAAGGATGAATGATCTGGTGGAGGCCATGGCAGAATTTCAGAGGTGATCTAAACCTCTGTTTTCTCAGATACACCAAAACACTGTTTTTCTTTTTTTATTCAACCGTTAACGTTGAACTTCAACCCGCACCAAAGCAATCTCTCGCGATCTATCACTTGAAATCAAATCAGGGAAGAAAAAAATGGTTTTTGTATTGCTAATTTTTTAGTTACCTTTTTTATTTTTATTATTTATTGTATTCAATTTAATCTATTATTAATAAAAGATTGAATAGGATTATTTATATTTTAAACCATCTAATTAATAAATATTTGATAAATAATATTCACAATTTTAAATGTTTTGATAAATAAATATTTTCATTAGTTAATTGTTTTATACTTCCACCTTGCACTAAACATAAATGACATTATTAAAAGTTTTTGAAAAAAATGGAATTTGATCCTTGTTTTTACTTTAGGCTGTAAAAAAATGTAAATTTTACCATTTATTCATTAGATTAGTTTTTGTTAAGAGTAACATATATAAATAAATTTAATTTTCCAAAACATAATTTTTTAAGCAATATAATTCATGCAAACATTTCATGTAAGCAATGTCACATCATACATTCTAATCACAAGATTTCATTATAAAGTTAATTAATTTTGAAGTAATTTTATACATTTGGAATTTATATATAATTTTACATTATCCACAGTAAAATCCAAGTCCAATGAGTGCTTAAAACAAACATTGCTTTTTTTTTTGTTTTGTTATGACAATATAAAATGTTTTTAGTATAAAGTTCGTAAACCGCACATGCTAAGTTATACAATTGAACTACAAATTCATTCACGTAGTACCTTCACTGATCTATGCAACTTTTTTAGCATTGTTTTTCAGAAGCAACTTAACGACATTTCAAAAGCAAATATAATGACAGACATGTGACATTAAAGAACTAAAATAATATATTTATATCATTAAAAGACCGAAAGAAATATTTATTCTTAAAACTAATTTTAAGCAGGTGATGTTTACATTAATAAATGCACAAACAAACAGCAGGAATTTATTGTATGAGAAATGAGTTGCATCATAGCATTCATAAAATAAATAAATAAAGAAAGAATCTTAAATTATATGGAGAGAAGAATTGCATACACAAATGTAAAAAAGGCTTCATTACATCCATTTGATCCGTGGCTAATAGGTAAACCTATAATGTATACATCAACCTCACTCTAGAATCATATACACAAAAAAATACAGCACCCATTTAGCGCATTGATTTATGATATACATTGTATCGTGGCACAGCACCCTATAACATTGAATGGATGATGGACCAAACAAAGAATCAACTACGGAAAAATTAACATACAAAACAATATGCTACAATCCCAACTTCTTCGTCAACCGATCTGAAAGATTAGCTATTACAAAGCCTGCAAATACCTGCAGCTCAATTTCAAAACAATTCCAACATTAATATGTGAACAAAATTGTTGATAATGATTTGTCTCATCAGTCAATAGCTAGTATATTGGTGAACAAAATTCCTAGTTCATGCTTACTTTTATAGCAAAATGACCAGAATGACAGAAGAGTGAACATGCATAAGGTCACATAAATAGGAATGATCACTCGTACATGTTGATCTCCCCCTTTTCAGTTTTCACTCCCCCGCCCTCACATTTCAACCCAACCATTCATAGGTGTTCAGTTTTGTTTACAAGCTCTTCTATTACAAAAAAATACCTTCTTTTTCTTTTCAAAAGCTCTTTGAATAACATTTCGATTACAAGCTTGCTTTTATTACAAAATAAGTTAATCCATACATAAAATAAACCCAAATTACAATGTTGTGATCAAAAGCCATTCATGAAACCCTAGGAAACCCCTCATTTTCACTTCTACTTGGTCCCTCCTAAACTTGGCATGTGTGATATTATTAGTCCTTAAAAAAGAGAAATGCAAAATAAGTCTTTGGTCTATTTTTTGTCCGTCACATTAGTTTCTAACGAAGGTCTCATGTTTCGGAACTTATATTAAACAAAAGCACAAACGGGTGACAGAATTGACTGACAACAAAAGCAAAGGTCAAGGACTGGTATTTATGTCCGTTTCTTGAGTGCAGGAACTGATATGACAATGAGAGCCAAAATTGAAGATGAAAATGGGTTTTGTTTACTTGACGAAATCCACTTTCTTAAGTAACTTGACAAACAACATAAATCATAAGAATGGAGAATTTAACAATATATTATCCACAAGAATTTGTAAAAGACGAGACCAAGAACAGGCAATCCCCCCACAAACATGCCCCAACCACACATGAACATGGACATGTCCAAACAAACAAGCACGGAAACATATATAAACTATCTGAACAGACATTAAACAGCAAGGATCATCCTAACACAAAGAGGCAAATGGACCCTATTTTTACAAATATATTTATTGTCGATCATTTGGCTTAATAGAAACAAAAAACTCCTTCCACAGGTACCAGTTAAAAAAGATCAAGTAGTTGATATCTATAGAGATATAGCAGTACCTGAGCAGAGCCAAGAATGTATACTGCTGAATAATGCCGACCATGAATTACCATGTCAGCCACCATAGCAAGCGGAATGGTGAGTGACATTCCCAACGTGGCCACAAGGGGAGTAGTCCATACAACACAAAGTGCCCTGGATAGAAACAAAATCTAAGATTCTCAGTGATTACAAGGGTTTGAATCAATAAATTTGAAAGTAGGCTTTTATGTACCAAAAGTAGTCTGAAAGTACACTTCCAATGAATCCATTTGCAATAACCACTTCGTCCACTTTAGCAGAGTGGGGAATGGTGAATTTGGGTTCGATTCCTAAGGCCATCAATGGCCAGACTGAGGGAAGTATAGAAGAGAATTAGCAATTTGTTTAGAGTGCATAACGTAGTGTGCTATTGATGAGTAACTGCAGAAACATTAATAAGCAAAAACTTACCAAGCCACCAGAGTGCTACTAGGGTAAACAATCCAATATACCCAAACAGCTTTTGGACATCAACCCTTTCTCCTTCACCAGAAAATTTCTTAAGAAGAACTGTAATAGTAATGATTGAAGAAGTGGTCATGATCTATCTAAATTATCTAATTAAAACAAAACAGCCAGGACATTGCATAACCTGTAAATAGGCCATATGATATAGCTGAGAGAATTCCAAAAAGATCGCCAACCAAAGAGTGCTTTCCATTGCTGAGCACAAATATCAACTGTCAATGTCCCAAAAAAGGAATTACAAAGAACAAGCTGGTAATGATATATTTATTTGTAAGATTCAGTCTCGGTTAAATAAAGAACAGTCCTGATGACAGCAGCCTAGGATAACGCAGATATCTTGAAACACAAGAACTTGACTACCTAAAGTTATGCCATATGATTTAAATAATTATCTTTAGTTTGAAGATTCTTTCGGTCCCATCTTTATGCATGCATGGGAAAAACTAGGAGGTGACATGGAGATGCCATGGCCACATCAAAATTTTTTATTTTCTTTGAATTTTATATGTAAAAGTATATTTTGGTACCCCACTCTTTGTATTGGTCACCGTAGTATATGGTTCCTGCCTCCGTCACTGTATGTAGGACGCATACATCAATGAACATATACAGAAAGAGGTAGATTTCTAAGAAATACAAAGCAAGCAAAGAAAGAGCAGTTGAAATTATATTTTTCAACTCAATGATTTTCTTGCCATTTTTACATGAATTATTAATGGGGATTTTTTTGGTTACTCTGTAACTTAGGTAATTATGAGTAACTGATAGAATCAGAATCAGAATTGAGGTAAGATACGAGACACAATTTTTTGTATTGTACTATAACGTTTTCTTTTTTGTTCTATTCATAGAGGCAGTCAATAATGTTTTTATACAAGCCACTGAAAAAAATCATTCGACTAGCAAAAGTGATTATTACAGAGTTTTGAGGCTGGCTTAGTAATATATTAGTAATACTTAGGATTTTGTGTTCATCCATGACATGATGTCTTTTCATTTTTGAAATTGGAATCATAGTTCAGCTATACACCCCTGTAATGTACAAATGATTTGCCTTTCCAACCTTAAGGGGTGACATTTACAGAGGACCATAAGTCTCCGCCACATTGGCTGAGTATGGGACAAGAAATTTTCTTTCAGCTACAGCCAATGTTCTCCTCTCTCATTCATTCCAATTTTAAGTAGTTGCCCCCTCCTCTACATCATATTGACAGGGAAGAAACAAGGGTTGCACCTAGGTGAGGGAATGGGTCAAACCAAGCTAGGCTTTGTGTAAACAGGCATGACCTATTAGCCTATTAGAGACCTCCTTTATATTACGACAAGTAAATAGGAGAACAAGCCGAATTTTAAATATGCCAACAAGTTAAGAATGTGCCTAGTCATAAAATGCAAATTTAATGAGTTATAATGAAATTCATTTTATTAATAATTCATTTTAGATCCTAAATCTTTATTTTTATTTATGATGAGATTTTTAATTAATTTAAATATTTAATATAAAATTATAATTTGTATATTATATTCAAATATATAAACAGGTATCAAACTTAATTCGTAGGCTTCTTTAGAAGCTCAAGCTTAGCCTATTTATTTAAATAGGCTTTTTTGAAAGCCCAATCCTAGCCTTTTTATTAAATAGGCTAGGCCCAACATGCCAAGCAGCCTGGCCTATTCTCACCCCAAGCTGCAGGTGGAGTTTGTGTAAAGACATGAAGCAGTTTAAAACATCTCCAAAAAATGTTCAGCCAAAATGCTATGAAAGCTTCATCAACATTCAACAATGATTTCTTTAAGCGTTATTTTGTTTGGAGGGGAATGGGGGAGGATCAAAATATAAACTGCTGCCAAATATGAAAGCAGAGACTAAGTAACCAAGGTCTCAACAAGTTCTTCAACTATGTTATTCAACAAAAGATGAAAATTTTAACTTCACGCAATTCAGAGCAAGTTTTTTCCTCATCTTGCAGAGGAGGGTTTGCAGAACCAGAATTTTAAAGTAGGATGAATGTGGACTAGCTCCCACTACATTATGCATTAATTTCACCAACTAACCGCTCTTCAGCTAAAACTAGAAATTCTGCTAAAGGTGATTTGACTATCAAAAGCAAATAAAAGCTTACGTATCACTTAATTGAGATTCATCCGCAGCCCAAGTTTTCCCCATTGTTGTCATAACAACCCCAGCCATGCTGACTAAGACAGCAACTACTTTTGCTACATTTAAAGTGTCTTGACCCATAAATGCACCAATGAAAAGAGTGAAAAGTCCCGAAGTTGATGATAATACTGTTGTACTTGCAACACTTGTTCGTGCAAGGGCAGCATTTGATAGATACTGAAAGCAAAAGAAGATAATTAATAAAGCACCACTGCTACTTTTCTAAAGTTTTGTCATAGAACAGCATAATAAGCATCAAAGTTCAGCATTTACAATTGAGTAAGCAGAAAACATCAAGGAAAAGAAAGGAATAAAAGTAGAAAATGGTGAAAGGCATGTTGACATAGTTCTATAGAATCAATCAAATACTTAGGTAATACATGGAAACATCTTATTCCCCCAATATGATCAATCCGGAAAGGCTTTTAACTGCCTAAAGGACAAGTGAAGTTAGACTGAGGTGCAATATGAATTATCTATCCAGTGTGACAAAGGGGTCAGGTATGCTGCCCTAGTGTATAGTATACATGTATGAATTGATCTACTACAGGTATGGTGAAAAATCTGTTTATGCAATATAACTTATCAACAAGAGAGATTACTAGTCCAAAGAGATTGTAAAAATGTTGCATGTGCATTTTTGCACTGCTACTATAAATCATAGAACATCTATCTAAGAGTTATTGTGGAAGGAGACATCTATCTACAAGTTTAACTGATATGATTTTATTCTAATTTCAAATCTTGTCAACTCAAAGACTCATAGCCACTTCTTAGGATAGATAATCAAGCATTTTTTGTCCTTCCTAACTATGAAACAGAACAGTGATATCACTCTGCAGTTACCTCTGTTATAAACCAAATAGGTGCAATGTAAAACCCATAAGCAGCAATTTCCTTCGCAGTAAGTTCTTTCTCCACCTTTAGCACATCAGTATTATCATTATATTTAGTTACTAATGGCGTTACATCTGAAAGCGTTGAAAGGTCTAAATCACTATCTTTTCGAATCACACTCCCCAGTTCCAGTTCAAAGTTGTTCTGCATTCCATTGGTTTTGAGAGGAGAGCTAATACTGACAGAAAACTCATCCACGCACTCTGCATTTTTACCACTTTTAGAGGAGCGGGATTTAAGTAAGTTACAGAACCAGTCCTTAATGAATGCTATTGGGAGGTAAACTACCATAAGAGAAGCTCCAAGATATGTCACTGCAAATGGCTGCTTATAATCTGTAAAAATATCCTGTTGAAAAAGATTATGCACAGAAAATTATTCACAGGTATTAAACTTGGAGGCTGAAATTGTTGAATGATATTAAATAGATACTAAGATACCCCTTAAGCAGGATTTAAACTACGAGAGTATTCTGAAAAAAATACAATCTATCCATGTGCAGTTAATGAATCATAAATTTTGTTGCAAGTGTTAATAGAATACAAATACAAATCTTCAAGCAAAGTAAGATATAACTGGAAATGCAAACCCAACCCCCTCAAAAGAACCAAAGACACATTTTATATGTGGCCGCAACTCTCACTCACTCAAAACCAAGATGACCAAATGTTTTCAGGTTCTCTATACAATAATAATTATTCTACTTCACCAAAAGGGACTGCATAGGATCTGTTTAGATAAACTTCTCTGTAAGAACTTCTTGGAGTAAAAAAAATTAAACTTGTTTTTTAATAAGCTAAAATTAACTCCTTCGTAAGAGATTCTTATAAATTCTTTCCTATTAGCTTCTCTAAAAGTCAATTTTAGCATATGCATAAGATAATTTTTTTTCTCCTAGGAGTATTTATGGAAAAATTTACCGAGACATACCCATAGTTATCAACTGTGGGATTACATGATTGACTATAAAGTTTGAAATGCTGAAATGATAAAAAGGCTGATCCTTACACTAGAGCTGTAGCTCACATGGTACCAAGTTTATTAGAAGAGTTGGCCTGGGATCGAAAATCAAAACAATCGAAATCCATTTGTATGCAGCTCAGAGCAGGCAAATATACAAGTCTGCACTTTAGCCACACTTCCTTTTACCATATTAGATGTCCAGATCTTGTATTTCATTATATAGCAAAACAAAAAACTACCGTAGGATTGGGGAAGTTTGGAACATCAAGTCAAATCAAGTCAAACATTAACTTGCACCCAGTTTTGACCGTGTGATCAGTCTAACCACGACTAGGAACAACTACTTTGCCTCATTCAACTATTACTAAAGGAACATAGCCTAGGAATCAATGATACTAACTAGGAATCCCATAAGAAAGAAAAAAGCATAAGAACAAAAATGTGTTACGTTACGTACCTGGGTAACTTCAGCGGAGGTAACCCAAATAACAACGACGGTGGCTATGAGGAACAAGCCAGCGTTGTATCTCCAACCCATCACAAAAACAAACTATGCCCCAATAGAAACTACAAGATCCGTATGCTTCCACACCAATTTCCCAACCAGATCTTAATCGGGTGCTGCGTTAGAATTGAGGGAGACGCAACAAAACACAACACAACAGCGGTGAGGTGTGGTGGGTGGAGGATTCTTGTAACCACAGAAAAGGGAAGCCTCAGAGGGAAACGTTAAAATTAAGTTCCTTTATACTTTGTCAATACCTTAATTAAATCTTCATCACCTGTCACAGTATTCAGTATGAATAATAGTACCAACTTTTTCCCAATTCCACAGATTAACAAAAAAAAAAGAAAAACTGTTGTAAGTTGGACTATATTTTAATTTAGAAAAAGGACAACAACTAATTAGTCTGATAATTAGTAAAATGTAATGAAAGTGTGATATGACATTAATTTGTTAAATTAACAAAGAAAAAAACAATAAAATAAATAAAGTACAACGAGAACCATGTTTACTATATCCAAATATTTTATTTTACTATATTATTTCCATACCATAGCATATTTTCATTAATGAATGAATGAACTATAAAGTAAGAGATTCAATTTTAATTATTAAAAATTATAAGAATTAAATAGATAACCAAAATTGTAGATAAGAAAATTACACATAAACTGAATTAAAGTGTAATTATCATTAAAAAAATAGTTTAGATATGTCGGTTACTTGGCAGTTGGCATTGATAAAACAGGAGCATTGCCTGGTGACAGGTGAAAATGAGATGCCATTTGATTGATTATGAACATTGAAAGCGAGTTTAGCTTTGCTTTCTTAGAAACATCAAACAATTTTCATCTTTTATCTTACCCAATAATAATAATAATAATAATATACTCATTAAATAAACTAAATTGATGAAAAATATTTTTTTCCATTAATTAAAATGATTCTATAAACTTCTTGTTTCAAAATTTCTTTATCGATTCAAGCGCACGAATTCAATAAAACGTATTAGAAGTTGTTTACTTTGATGTCGTATAAAATAATTTTGAGGAAGTATATTAATGAAATGTTATTTAAATCATCCAATTAGTAAATACATATATTAAAAAAAACATTTTTTATTTGCAAAATATAATTTACTAACCCGAGAAGTAAAAGACATGAAAGCTAATCCCAATTATGCTTTATTGCCGACAATCTGCACGGTTGAAAGACAGAAGGAAGCAACCCACGTAAATAGTAAAATGCACACGGATACACGGGAATATAAGCGAATGCAGAAAGATAGTGGTGGACCTGGACCTACATTGTAACGGGCTCTTCAAATATAGCACTTTATTCTGTTACATCATTCTTTCTATTATTATTTTTTTAACTTATTCTCAAAAAATATTTTGTAATAAAACTGTTTATTTGCTTTACAAATAAATTTCAATTTTTCAGCTTTTATAATTAAAAAAATTATTTAATAACTATTTTGTTAAAATAATTACAAAATATATTGGATCAAATATCTTAATAAAATCTTTTTTTTTTTTAACACAACATTTATCAAGAGAGGATGTTCATGAGAGAAGTTGAAGGTGTTCTTAGAATCACCTATAACTAAACAAGAGTTAGTTGCATATTGTAAAGATCTACACCAGTAGGGGATGGTGCACATTTACACTCTTATTTGAAAAACACAAGAAAAGAATCTTCCTTGATAGAAAATCCATGTTCAGCAACATAAAGCCACTTAGTCATACTATAGCATCAGAAGCAAAGACCAAAGATTATATACAAGGAAACAACAAGTTCGAAGAAGTCTTCACGCCTCTCATATAACATAGGATAAAGCAATAAGCATGTGATTCCTTAAACCTATATGAACTACCTTAGTAGCCAGAAAAAAAGACTAGCATCCTGTATACCAGATAACTTGAGACATTCCAGAGGCACCACAAACCATTCAGATTTGATGTAAATATGTAAGAAGTTTTACAGCTTAATTTTCGGGTAATTCACTTATTTGCAATTAATAATCAAAAGAAGAGTGATTCATTAATATTCTTTGTAGAGAAAAAACTAATCCTTTTATTAACAGGATATTATTAACAGCATGATTAAAACAAAAACCAATCACACCTTTGTACAATCCGTGGGCTTAAAGGAAATTTTCTTTTCTTGGAGGTCATAGCCAACCAAGAGGTTTTGTTGTGCCAAGTTCCCAAAGATGACAAGATTTCCACTTGAGCTGAAAGCCAAGCATACTACCGTGTGGGTCATTTGAAGAAAGGAATTCATAGCATTCAACTTGACATCTGCACCACTAAAATGTGCAGTAATTACTGGTGCATCTAGTTTATCAAGTGTAGTTTTGTAGCATAGCTTTAATCGATTACTTGGATCCTCAGCACGCTCTACTTTGATTGCTTCTGCTACTGCTGATTCCAATTTAGAGTAGACATCATTTGGCAAGAGAGTGAGTGTGGTACCAGAGTCAATTATCACATTTCCCTTTCCACCAGATCCAGACAAGGAGCTTCCAAACTCTACCCTTTTGTTTCCCACACTGAATGCTTCCAATGTTAGGAAGTAAAACACTTGTTGATCATGTAAAACCATTGGGGTTGAAACAGTCCCATCTCCAGAAACCACAGCAACATCTCCAAAATTGAGTTTGCTAGGCGAATTAGATTGTGTAAACATTGGAGCCAAACAATAAGAAAACTTTCCACCTATGGAAGAACCCATTTGAGATATAAGGGACACAGGTCCAACTCCTAGGCCAACTATGCCAGAGCTTTTCCCTTCAAATGATACAGTATTGTTGTATCCACATCCAATAACACTTCTAGGAAACTGAATAGGAGAGCCACTAGTGGAGGCTAAAGTTAGGGTTTCCACACTAAGGTCTCCTTGTGAGTGTGACCCATCACCATAGTTAATAGTATATTCACAATGTTTCCCTTTATCAGAGGAACAAGGGGTACTCGTCATATTTTGACATGTAGTAGAAGAACAAGGGAGGATTCTGTAGGTTGTGGATTTTGAAGGATCAAACATAGGAGTGGTTTGTTTGTAACAGGTTTTACAAGGTTGACACTGCAACCAAATTATGTGACTACCTGTGTCAACAATCCCATAAAGTTGGAATGGTGGGGTTCCAACTGAATAGCTCATGAGGTAGTCACCTAGATCTGGTGTTACTGTGGCCTCGGCTGCGTTTGGATAGACAATAGGTTGGTTCAAACTATTAGCACGATTGATGGAACGATGCACAGCATTGGCAACTCTTTGGAATTGGGTTTGTGTGGAATGATAAAATGGTGATTTTGATGAGTCACGGTGGATTATTTCCACACTAAATCCACCATTGAGAGCGTCTAAGAAAGAGCTGTTGCAAAACCACAGTAAAAGAAGAGTGAAAGATGAATAACGTAATATCATTATTGCCATCACTCTAGCATGCAGAAGAATGAATAAATAAACTCTCAAAATATTTAGATTTGTAACTGCTAAGTCTCTATCGAGTCTTTTTATATTGTAAGATCGTAACACTTTTGTAAATGCTTTTTGGGAGAGGGGTGGTTAGATTTTACATTAAATGTCATGAATTAACTTATGAATATTTCTGGATAAAATTAATTAAAATATCTAAGTTTTAAATTAATATTATAATTATATATGTATTAAATAGAATAACTTATAATTATACTTTTATATTCCAAAACACAAAAAGCTAGGATTTCATTACCATAATTAACGGGAAATACTAATATTATAATAAATGTATAATTAAATTAAATTTTGTATCGTATTGAAAATTTAGTATTAATTATAATTTTCTGAATAGTTTTAAATATATAATAACTGTTTTAATTTTTTATTAACTATTTTCCTTTGGAGACAATAAAGTAATACTTAATAATTTAAAGAAATACTAATCATATTCATAGATTGAAATTTTGGTTAAATTTAATATATTACATTATTTTATTAAATATTATTTAATTTTTTTCCTCACATGTTGTAAAATCAAAAATTAATAATTCGTACAAATTGATTAACAAAATCAAGTATGAGTATTTTTCAAGATTTCGACAATATTAATAATTACGTCCAACGATTAATTCGTATTAATTAATGTTATGATTAGTGAAAAAAAGGTTTATTTTTATTCAATAGTTAAATTGATTAAAATTCCATTGTGTAAAGTTTTTGTTAATGTAATTAATAGTTGCAGGAAGAAAAGTGTGACAATATTGTATGTAACGTGGAAACCTTCCATTGGAGGATTTTGTACGTAATATGTTTAGTAAAATCTATAATAACCTCTGAAAATTATATTTTAAAACACTGCAACGTGAATCATGTCAATAACAAAAAAAAATTAAGAGTTTAAATAAAAGGTAGACTATATATATATATATATATATATATATATATATATATATATATATATATATATATATATTTAAATAAAACTCTAATAAAATAAAATTTTAAAAAGACAATATCTCATGTATATTAGCGTCTATGTAATTGTTCAAGAATTTGAAATTGAAAAAATGTATTTTTCTTTTTTCGTATTTTGTATCATTTCAAAAAATTAAATTAAAGAAACATTGTTTTTCTTAAAATATTGTTGATCAAGTTTTATATAGAAAAAATTCTCACATAAACTAGCTTTCCCTACAGAAAATTATAAAAGTGCAATGCTACTCTTATTAAAATATTTAATACAACAACAAATTAAAGATTCTAATAAAAACAATGTATTACTTTTTCCTTTTTAGAAAACTAATGTAAATATTTCTAAAAATATTTGTGACTAATGAAACATAATTTAGTGATACCTATAAATCATATGCCCATAATCCATCATTCTCCCGTACAAAAACAAAAGAAAAAACGCTCATTTGATTAAAACCGTCAAAATATTTTCTATTTAGTACATGTTCTAATAATTCAATCAATTAAAAATTTTGTAATGATTTTAAAATTTCATATATATATGAGTCGTAAAATTATTCATTAGCAATTAGTTTATTGTTCTTTTTAAGTTTAGCTCTTTTAATATGCTTTTATAATTTAACGTTCTTTATTCTCCTTATCTTTTTTCTTAAAAGTGATTTTAATTTTTTTATTAAAATATATTGACCTATTTGACAATTATAAATATTAAATATGTGAAATTACAGTAAATAATAATAAACATATGATAATTATAAATATTTGTTCTCATCAAGATTGTTAATATAATTAGATTTATAATAGAAATAACGATCAAATTTAAGTTGCAGACAAAAGATAAGTTGTAGAAGAGATAAGTTGTAGAAGAAAGAAATTAAGTGGTGATATTTTGAGAACAAGAAACCATACAACCCTTCAAACAACTCACTTTTATTAATATAATAATCAATAGACTGATTTAATAAAAATAAAAATAAAATAAAACTATTATTATAATATTAAAACAGAGTTGTTTAAATGAGTTGTATGAATTTAGGTTGTTAAAGTATCATTTTTCAAAGAAATTATAATATAATTATATTTAGTTAAAAAAATGTCAAACGAATTTAACGATAGAAAATTGTCAATTTAACGACAAAAATTTGCTAAATTCAATATTAATGCGTTGATAAAAGATAAAACAAATACTATTAACGAATCATGTTAAAACAAGCTCAAAAATCCACTGTTATTTTATTCTTCTCATATATAAATATATACACATGAATAAAATCTCATTTCTTCTTTTCCAACCGGGGAAGACCAAAACCACATTTCCCAACAACACAACCCACCAAAACAGAAAGATTTTGGTACTTTTGGCAACACCAAATTGTTAGAAAAAGAAGGGTTAAGTTAAGGCGAAGAACCCCAAAGAATTTCAGCGCTAACAGTCGCAAACTCAGCCTCATTCTCCGAAGTTTCCTTCACAATCCTCAAAATCTCTGACTTAACCTCTCTCTTCTCTTCCGCGCCTAACCCCTCCCCCACCTCCACTTGGATCGCAAATCTTGAAACGCAATTCCCAAACGCGAAATCGCAATCACACTCACTACACCCGCCTCTTTGCAAGTCCATTAGAATCTCAACCACTCCCGCTTTCACCATCGCTTCCACCACTTCCCTTCTCCCTATATATCCCAGTTCCAAAACGCAGTCCAACGCCGCAACGCGAATCCCTAATTCCGTCGACCGCAGAAACCCTATGATTTTAGGGATCTCTCCGCTGCAGAGAATTTCGTCCACCAAGGGGCTTCGAATGAATTTAATAAGCGACGACAAAATGCGAACGGAACAGGCCGAAGCCATCGCTATCAAGGCCTTGATGGTGGGGCCCATCAGCACCAGCCCAACGAACACGTCCTTGTTGAACTTCACTAGCGCGGCTATGGTCATCGCTGCTTCCTCTTTCACATGCGTGGAACTCGAATTTGAGTTCTCGAGGAGCACGCACTCCAAGAGCGTGAACACCTTCGCGCGCAGAACCAGGTCCTGGAACTCCAAATCGAAGCCCTGGGAGAGCCTCTGACGGAACTCGACGAGAGCCTTGACCTGGTGCTGTTCGTCGTCGCCCGACGACGGCTCCTGCAGCGTGTCGACGAGGTCGCGAACAGTGACGCGGTCGATGTAGGATTGGATTTCCGATCGGAGGGCGTGAGCGAGGTGGGAGATTTTGCAGTTGGTGAGGTGGCGATGGAGGAGGGACCGGGGGAAGTAGCCGCGGTGCTTGTGGAGTTTATCGATTAGGGTTGGGAGGGAGGAGAGGATGCGGGAGAGGTTGCTGAGGTTTGGGTCGGAGGAGAAGGCGGCATGGGCCTTGGCTTCGAGGTCGAGGAGCGTGTCAATGGCGGGGCGGGAATCGGTTGGGAAGAGGAAGGAGAAAGGGTTGGTGGGTGTGTGAAGGGCTTTGGAAGCTTCTTTGAGGGCATTTAGGAGTGTTAGGAGGCTGTGTTTGGGAGTGTGATCCATGAGAGTGTGAGAGAGAGAAAAGGAAATTTAGTTAATTTAATTTGATTGTGTAGTTTGCAGTGTGGAAGGAAGCAGAAGAGAAGAGAGAAAGGGAAAGGGGGAAAATCTGAATTTTGGAAAGACAAGATAGGGACAGAAGGAAGGGAGGTCATCAGGTGGTGACTGATGGCAACTATCAGTCCAAATGATCAACACAAACCAGCAACCATTCTTTGTAAGTCTGAATTTAATAATTCTATATTACTGTTGTTATTTTGATTTAAATTTTGTTTTTTAGCAATATTATATTTAATTTATCTCTATGAAAGAAGAAGATTTTTGTCATTACCCTTATGTTTAGAAAGGGAATGATTAATTAATGTAAGTTTTTGTACCTAACAATCTGTCTAAGCTCTTTCTTTTTTAATGTATTTGAAAAATATTTGAATTAATTTTAAATTTAAATTGATAAAATTGATCTAAAATAAAAATAATGTTATATTGAAAATAAGTGATATTTCGTTTGGTTTATTTTTAATTATGATAAATAATAATTTTAAACTAAATTATTTAAAAATTATATTTATGTACTGAATTAATAAATTCATTAAAACTATTATTTATTTGTAAGGACAACAAAATAATTTAATTAGTCTTATTTTAATTAGTTTCGTCATTAATTTGTAAAAATGAGACGGATCTCGTTACAATTAAGACGGAGTATAAATCCTAGTGAATCCGTAATGATCAACGGATCATATGTATAATTTTGTTTTATGTTATTTTAATATATAATTATATATATATATATATAATTTTTAAATTTTTATTTATTAATTAATATTTTTATTAGATAAAGTTTAAAAAATATTATATTTATGAATTAAAATAATTGATTTAAATTAATCATTTAAATTTAATAGATTAATTTTATAATTTAAATTATAATATTATAATATATTTATATATTTTAATAATAAAATATAAAAAATATAATATTTTGAATTATAATCCTTTCTATTTTTATTATAATATATAAATATTATTATAATATATAAATATTTTTTAAATTAAGGACTTAGCTCCTCATCTATTTATTTTAAATAAATAATTATAAAATATTGTTGAGAAAATTTGAATATATAAAAATTAATGGCTGAAAGATGATATCTATTATATTTTTATATTTAATAATTTATCGCAGCATATATTTTTTTATTTGATTAAATATTATTAAGTCTAATAAAAATAACATTATATATATATATATATAAATATTTAAATATCTAAAAATATCGTATTATGATATTTAAATAATATTTTTTTAATGTGATCAATATTTCTATTTTAATAAAAATTAATTATAATTACAATTTTCATATAAAGTAAAATTAATTTGTATTTTTAATTTTCTTATTGTTACTCATTATAATGAACAATTTATAATTATTTATACTATAATTTTTCAAGAATTAATTTATTTGTAATATAAATTTTATAAATTAGTTAAAATATTATTTATTTATATAAAAATGATCTGAAAAAATAAATCTGTGCATCCTAAACCTATTAGTATATAGAAAATAGATAGATGGAACACTTATAGAAATGTTACATGTCAATCTAATAATCACAATGTATTCAGAATTTTTGTGAATACCTTATCTTCTTGTCCATTTAACTTCATGTAATATCTTTAACAGAAGTTTTCGTGAAATCTTTGAATAAGACATTAATTATTTGAAGTACTTTTTATTTAATATATTCTATGATATGTTTGTTTAAGAGTTCATTTAATAATTTACAAAACTAAGCTAAACAAATAATAGAAAAAATAAGTTGTTTAACTTAAAAAAAAATATTATCGAGAGGAAAATTAAATATATATTACTTAATTATAATGTAACATAATAGAATCTATATTTTAATTTTTTTATGAAATAACTCCTGAATTGTTTCTATAGAAAATGGTTTAAAGTCTGCTTGGTATCCTATGCATCTAGGGATGGCAAAACGGGCCAGTCAGTTCGTTTTGCCCGTCCCACCTTTGACCCGCCAAAAGTGGGGCGAGACAGGCTGACCGTTATAGTCATGACGGGTTGTAGACCTTAGCATGTCCGCCAAGAGGCGAGTTGGCGAGCTAGCTTGCCATAATTTAGAAAAAAATAATTTATTTTTTAAAACAATTTTTTTTAATAAATTTAATAATAAGATTATTATTTGTTTGTCAATAATTCAATATATATATATATATATATTATTTCAATTTAATAATATAAATCAATACATTGTTTTAAGAAATTATAATTTAGAACAATAATAAAATTTACATAATAATAAATATATATATAACGTTAAAACTTATAAAATTTATATTTTTTATATTAAAAATTTAAAATACTTATATCTTTTTTATTTGATAAAACTTAATATTATTCTTGGTTGAGTAATTTTTACACCTTTAATTCAAGTCATAAAGATAAAAATAATCGGTGTTTAGGAAGAACAAGGAGAACAGGAGAGAGAAAATTATGTTTCAATAGGGAGAATATTTTTTGTAAGAGTGAAACTTTTTTAATTCTCTTTTTAAAATTTTTAACTTTATATATTATCTTTATAATTAATTTTATTACAATAAAAATTTATTTTTTTATTAATTAGGCGGACCGTGGACTGGCCTGCTCCGTCTCGTAGGTTGGCCCATCGGGTTGACAGGTTTGGCGGGACGGACCAAAACGGACTGGTAGGCTGAAAACACCAACCCGCCCCGTCATATTATGGTGGGTCTGGCCGGCGACCTGCCGGACCTATCCCGTTTTGTCATCCCTAATAGTGAAGTGTATTGTATCAAAATAAAATCTAAAATGCGTATTAGCCACGGTTATGTTTGGTACACTGTCATAAATATTTTAACCTTTGCATGAATGTAGATAAATATTTCAACCTCAATTTTTGTAAATCAGAAGAATCCCAGAAAATATCCTTTCACCAAAATAAAATATTTTTTAAGAAAATAAAAAATTAGTCGAATATGACATGATATGAATACCATATATTTACACAGAAATGTAATATTTTGGTTTGTTCATACCATTCTCGTTTTCTCCTTGAATTATGAGACTTCTTAGGTCATCAACCAAAAACTGATAGGGTTTGCGAAATCTAAATTATCAAAATAATAATTCATTCAAAATATAAACTAAAATACTACATTAGGCCTCTAAGTATCCCTGAATTTGTGCTGCGGAGTCCACTTCAAATACAAAGAAATGTTTCCGGATTTAGCTCCATCAATAGGATAAGTTTCATTGTATTCTCCTTCCAAGATGACCTTAGTCAGTGTCATGATCACTCTTCCAATTTTTTCCTGAAATAATCATGCATTTACGAAAACACTAGAATTGATACTGATTTAAGAAATCTTGAAGGATACAATTTTAAGATGGTGATGATAAAATGAGTTTCCAATCATGGACTAAGTACCCTATGGACATGACAATATCACAATATAAAGAAAACAGTAATGCAAGCAATTTTTCTCTTGCTTTTCATTTAAGCAATGATTGCTCAATTGATAAAACCACCAGCATAAATTATCAAAACCGCTCTGTACTAGCTAGTGAAAGGTGGGTATAAAAAAATTTATGACAATATAAATTATTTGAATAAGGTTTCAAACTCAATCAGCACTTAGAAATAAAACAAAATCACGGGACAAATTGATAGAGTATTATCACCTTGCCAAACGTATCATGATCGTAGACTTCAAGAATTAACATTTCGTGCAGGCCATCCTCAACAACAAAATCAAATGTTTGATTCCAAACTGGGTTTAGGGATTCATTTACAACCTGAGAATACAAGAAAAATTATTCAATCTTACAAGTGGATAGAAATCAGTGTGTGAATTTGGAGATGGAATAAATTAAATTTATAAATGTTGGGCAAGGAATTTCAAAACAAACAAAAAATCTGATACATTTTTTTTAACTATTTTGCATTCAATTAAACTATCTCACGTTTCCAATTGATTTAATCATTCGAATTTATCTTGTTCGTCACCCAATTGAAATGAGTTAAAAAAACTCTAATATAGCAAAAAAATAATGCAAGAAATGTCCAAAATCTTACTCGGGTCTTGAGTTTTTTTTCTGTTTTTTTCAAACTAAGGACAACAAAAGGATCAGCCTTGCCCATTAGGTCTACTACTGGCAAGTCTTCAGCTGAAATCACTGTCACAGATAGAACCCCTCTTACAATGACGTTGCTTCTCTTACGTGAACCTGTAGGATCCTCACTCTCTCCCTCACCGGTCTTGAGGGTCTTCTCGAACGAGGTTAGTGAGAAATCAGGGTCAAAAGGGTTCTTAATGGCGCATTCGACTCCAAATGGGCAATACAAGAGCTCCAAGTGCACCTACATAGTGTATATTTTTTATGTGTGAAAATAACAAGCTCAAGAAGGTTCATGAACTCATAATACAAATTTGGCTTATTCAAATAAAAGTAATACGAATTTGCACGAGTAGATTATTACTCCCCCGTGCCATTATGAGTGTAGTTTAGGTTCTAGTTTAAGAATAATAATAAAAAATATATTACTGTAAGACAATTTTATCAAATATATTATTTGATCGATATAGAGAGAATAATTAAATTGAGGAAAAATTATCAAGAAAAAATTAATGTTAAAACTGAGATAAAAACATCACTGAATTTGATTTTAGAAAACTGCACTTATGGAGTATAAGACAAGAAAACACAAACAGCAAGTGTTGAAGAAAAGGCAAGATTCGATGCCTATAGTACAGGGAGTGTCTATAAATTAATAAACGTTAAAGCACGTTCGTTAATACTCTAGCGCATAGCACTGGGTTTCAAATTTGCAATTTGCATTTATCAGTTAGATAGAATGCTTGATGAATGTTACGAAGACGTTAAACAATATACGATCTTACCTCACCCCTGTACTTGTTGTCTCTATGGACCTCCAAATCCTTAACCAGCTTAAGCCATACATCCTTGACTTTACCAGGTTCGAGGTCCTTCAGCGAAAACTGGGCACAGCCAATAAGTTCGGAAGCCTGAATGCCTTCATCATCGAAAATTCTTATGGTCAAATGCTGCGATGACTCATCTTCAATAGTGAATTCAAAGTGCTCATTCCATATTGGATTCAACTGGTTGTTCTGAACACGCCCGGCAGTTGAATTACAATCACACACAATAATAATTAATAAATAATAATAAAAAGGTAACTGAAGCTCCATTGGAAAAAAAAGGTGATCTTACCATTACTTTACTGGTTTTGGTTCTGTCACGAAGCGGGCGTACAAATAGGATAGCATAAGGATCGGATTTCCCAATCAAATCTTTATTTGTTAAGTTCTTTGCTTGCACCAGTTTTACTTCTAGTATTCCAACCGGTTTCAACTCTAGATTACTGCAAGAGGAAGAAACAATCACACACACACTCAAATAAAAGAATAGGATAATGCAATGTTATCAAAGAGACATACTCATGTTACAGGTGATGAATCCTTTGTTTCTAAACCTTCGCGGAGTCTTAGTCGCTGTTGGGTTACATCAATGATTTAATATTTCTTATAGCCCTTGGAATAAGTGCCTTAGTACTTTTTCTCTTATTCTTCCTTTTCAACATTTATATTTGTATTAGTTGAAAGTAACTATAAGTTTAAATACTCCTTCACATGTTATCAATTGATTTTATGTTGGAACCTTAACATGGTATTAGAGTCAAAGTCTAACATCTTTCCAGTTATTGTCATGTTTAGTTGGATCAAAAGTATCATTTACCTGGTCCGTCAGGTTTTATTGGAGGGAGTGTGTTGTAAGTCTCACATCGTCTATCTCATATCATTTTGTATGATTTAAATACATGATAAGTTACTCTTAATATTACCAATTGATTTTATGTTGTAAACTTAACACTATTCTTAGAAAGAGTAAATTTCGGTTGAAGAAAGAGTATTTGTATTCTCAAGGTATTGCATCTAAGAAAGAGTCTTGTTTTAAGTAAGAGTAATCATTAGAGAGAAAAGAGGAGGGAAAGAGTAATTTCCGTTTCCTCACAAGGCAGCTTAAATGAAATGGTAACTGCGCCTTTGTTTACTATTGTATTAAGTTGATATTTTAATTGCAAGTTGATCATGAAAAATTCTTCATTTTCAAGGGTTGGATCAGCCAAAGGATGTGTGCTGCGAGGTTCGTAGAGTAACTACTTTATTTTGGCTTCTTTCATCTGTTCGCTACTCATTTGTGAGCATTTGTTCTTAACTTTGTTTGGGTGATTGTAAACATATTTTGTAATCTTGTTGAAAACTCTATTATTTGAAGGTTTTGCTGTACAGGGTTTGTATATCCATTTGCAGAATTTGAGATTTCTTCGCGACTTCTCTCTAAGTTATTTTCTAACCGTGATTGTAGTGATTGTAGTAACGACTAGTGAAAGGGATGATTATTTTCAATCTATTAGGGTGAAATTGAATGGGCAGAGCCATTCCTATTGGAGTTATGTCTTAAAAAATCTCTTGAAAGGCAAAAGGATGTGGAACTACGTGTCTGGAGCATATGTTATGCCAAAGGATAAACAAATTGAATCTTGGAAGCTAACGTTGCCAATCCAAATATTGAGCAGAAAGTAAATTCTGAAAAAAAAAAATCATAACCTAATAATTTAATCTCTTAAATCTACGGGGATTCAACTAGAAAGGTATGAAACAGCTAAAGTGGTTTGGGACAATTTGAATAGGTTATATGTGCAGTCCAATTTTACAAAGTAATATCAATTGAAAATTGACATTCGGGCTTCCCAGCAAGATAACATGTGCATTCAGGAATTCTATTCTATTATGTTGTGACAAATCTTAGAGATTAGTTGGCTGTTATTAAATCTGTAGAACTACACACGGAACGGAGGGAAGAACAACCTTTGGTCCTAGTTTTATGGCTCTTCGAGATACTTAGAAGGACTCGTGGAACAATTTTACATAGTAATCCTTTTCAAAGAGTCCATTCTGTTGGGTTATTAGAGAGGATGATATTAGGTAGGTGTTCATGAATGGGTCCAAGCAACCTAATAAGAAAATATAACGCAAATTTTAATTTAAAATTTTAAAATATTATTCTAAGTTATGAGTGGATTTTTCTCATCTATCTTGTTTAGTTTTATCATTTTATTTACGGTGGATTTCAACTAATACTTAATTTCAACACTTTTTTTAAGTGTGAGTTTATACACATTAAAATACAGTTCCTTCAAACATAATCATAATAAGTACCATTTAATGGAAATTATATATATATATATATATATATATATACAATAATTGAAATTATTGTTAAATATATATATAATCGTAAGTACCATTTTATAATATTAAGGACAAAAAGACAACAAAGTCTTTTTAGAATGAGATGTATAATACATTAAATTAATTGAAGTTAAGGATGACAAGATCGGCGGGTGGGTCCATCCAAAAAAAAAAATATATATATATATATATATATATATATATATTTTTAAAATTTATCTAAAAAAATAATAATTATTAAATAAAAATTTAAAAATTATTTATAAAATTAAAGATATATTAAAAAAAAATATATATATATATATATATATATATATATAAAATAAAAATCGAATGGAGCTAAAATCTGTAATACTATGACGTTTACTCTTATTTTTTACGGATTATAGAAGAAACCGGAAAAGAAAAAAAAAACAAACAGCTCCTGTTTTGCCATCAGGCTTGAGATAGTTGTAGACTTGGTGTCATCCAAATCAGTGACCCAAATCAAGTCACGATGTTCTCTTTTTCTATCTCTAAGCTGCTGATTCTGATTTGAAAGGTTGACTTTCCGAGGTGAAAGAATCGATTCTCAAAATGCTGAGGATCAATTATCAATTATCTGAGTGTAAAAATTGTACAAGTTACATTAAGCTCAGTTGTCTTTTTTTCCTTCATCTTCTCCTCTGCTGATCCTCTCTCTCAAATCCACTCACATTAGTGGAAACAAACACAAACTAACTCGTTCTTCATATTTTGCCAACCTAGTCTGCCAACCGAAAGCATAGGTTCCAGACACTAACGAAGAAATTTTATAAGTATAACTATTATCCTTATATCATTATCTATCGGGGCCAAATTTTTTACGTTCCTATAACATAAACTAAGAAAATAGAGTTTTCCTCCTTTTGGAACAAAGTGAGAATGAACTTTGCATACCTGTAATCCCCCGGTAAAATTGGTATAATTTGGCGTACAGGCCAAGTTATAGAGTCTTCAATCGCATCTTTAATTGTTTCCTTAGAAAATAACAAGAGTTTATTACCAAGTTAGAGTGCTGAATGAATTAAAGAGCTATTGACGATGCAATTCAAATTGATAATAAGGCCTAACTGTCGTAAGTGATTAAACTTCTCCAATTTATCAGTGAGTGATATTTTGACAACTACAAATCCTATAATCTTTAATAAAACTTATTTTTATTAATATAATAATCTATAGAATAATTTAATAAAAATAAATTAAAATTATTATTATAATATTAGAAGAGAGATGTATATGAATTTGGGTTGTGAAAATATATTTTCCTTAAATTACAAGGTATTTGAATTGCATTCCACCATCTATTATGCCACTGTAACTGTTTTGGCTTCCTGAATGGAAGAGAATACAGTTGTGGAGGATAAAGTATGATAATAATTATTAATTAAAAGAATAATGATAGTGATTACAATTAAGTGTGTTAAACATATATTTAATTTTATTAAAATTTTAATCACTGATTTATTAATCAACAATTTTAACTGCATTCTATCTTCTAAAATACACCACCTTAAAGTTCAATAAACTCACTAATCCAAGTCTTACATATGCAGGAATATCGTTGTAAAAGTTCGTAAACTACTTATAGTACATAATAACTCGTGATGAAATGATATTGTAAAATTAACGTTAATATATTTATTTTATTGATAAAATAACCATCAACATTAAAATTGGTGAAACCAACACGGCACGAACTAAAAACTATAATGCCTGATTATTTAATTGCAGAACTAGGAGATCCAAGACATGAAGATTAAAGATACATGACTCCCTATTTTGTAATATACCATCCACAATATAACAAAAAGTAAAGGAATGACAAAAATACCATAAAGAAACATGTAATTTACTTTACCTCTATAGCATCAGATATCCCCGGTAAAGCTGATAAATCACCCCCAATAACCTTCAGAGTAAAATCCAGATCTTTCTGTTGCCAGAACAAAGAAAAAAAAAGAAGGAATTTGAGAAATAGTCAGATTTTGTAGTTTACCCATATTTGAACAAGCCACGTTGACATCAAAGAAATGACATAAAAGAGCGATATATATATATATATATATATATATATATATATATATATATATATATATATATATATATATATATATATATATATATATGTATAGTACGAATCTGCATCTTGTCACTGATAGCTTGCCATGCCCTGAAGCTATGCTGTTTCCAGAGACTTGACATCTAAGAGCGGAGATTCCATTATATAATCTCGTGAGAATTATCCTTCTTTCAACATGTTGAAATGCTATTTTTTTTAATCTTCTGGATGAAACCATATGTTATAAGACAATGTAACTCACCTTTTCTTTCAAGGAAAAACAAACAGCTCCGAAACCAGGGAAATCATTCACTAGTGGTTTGAAGATCAACCTGAAAACCCCAGTGAATCCAATATCTTTTACCTATATACACAAGTTGCCAGGAAAGAGAAGGAATAGAATGATAAGGAATAACATAAATAAGTTTTGACATATATATGCAGTCATTAATGATGCCAGTAACATATTGAGTTGCACAGTCCACCCTATTCGTCATGAATAGTTTGCAAATCTTTTAATAAAGATAGCCTAAGTGAAGCTGTCTGTATTAGAAAACAGAATCACATGCACGGAAATATACATTTCTCAAAGCCTAGGGAGACAAGCTTGTGTACATAAATAATGAAGTTGAAATTTATAATGTTAACCAGAGCTAGAATGACACTTCCTTTAATTTGCAAATGAAATCAAAATTTTCTTTTGTATTCCTTTCCAAAAATACAATACATAGTTATTGTTTATGAGACATATCTAACGCAATAATCTGATGAAGCAATTTATTGAGTACATCCATTTGTGGTTGATACCAAGCATTGATGATATAAATAGACTATATGGGTGTTGGGATAATCAGGTGCATAAAATTTACATCTTCAAAGACGCATCTTATCCTCGACAATAAAAGGAAAAAAAAAGGAAACAAAATAAATTTTATAATGGTTATAATGTGATAAAAATAGAGATAAGAGAGAAACTAGAGGTTAAGAGTTGTTTAAAAAAATTAGGGTGTACATGAATTATATATATATATATATATATATATATATATATATATATATATATATATATATATATATAATGCCATATGTGGGCAATGATTTGTGTATCACCTGTACAGGAAGTCCAACACCAACTCGGGTTTTAATGTCAAGAACGATATTCGGGTTACCATCCCATTGCATCTCAAGATCCATAGTCACCCCATCAAGCCCACTGTGCTCTTCAACGATTGTAACTCCTAGAAATTTCAAGCAGTAAACGATTGCTATAATACACGGATGAACTGAACCAACAATTTAATAAATTGAAGACCATCGGGCTCTTTTCAGTCTGTTCAACTTGGTAATGAGCATGCAATGCAATTGCAAGAACAAAATACAATTCTACCCACAAGTCACGACATTGATGATCACATTCATAGTTCAAATGCATAATAATAATGTAATATATATAAACCTGTAAATTGTGGAGCCACAGTGCCAAGGGTCAACTTGGAGAATGTGAGAGAAGACAAAATAATCGGCCTATATTGTTCAAGAATTGGTTCCACAATGGTTCTTATCAACTCTGACGCTGCCTATGTATATTTCCAAATTACATCAGGTGTCTAGATCCATAAACTCGCTCCACGTATATGTAACAAGAAAGTTGATGAATGAATGAAAATAAAAACAAAAGTAAAGTACCTCATCAACGTGTGGCCAAATCCTCCTGAGTTGGGTATTAAGCCAATTTAACTGCAGATAATGAACAAATTAATATCAGAACCTAGATAAAAAATATTGAACATTCAATTCTGTGGATATAATAAGTAAAAGTTTATAAATAAACTCAACTTCTGTCTCTTAGTGAAGACCACCCATGATGGATAGAACTTAGGAGGCAAAAGTTTTCTGGAATCTTCCACCGTCATCCTCGCAAACTCTGCTATCGTCTTCGCCTAAAAGCGATTAACGAAAACAATTAGAAACAACAATAAAAAAATTCTTCTTATTATTATTATTATCATTATTATGGAATGAAAGCAACGGTTAAAATGAAATGAATGTGGATATACCAAATCGGAGCGATGCTTGGATCGAACGTTCTCGTGACGAGCGAAAGCGACTATCAATACGATACCAATGCCGATACCAAGGATCATGCCGGTGAAGAATCCCATTTTCGCAACGGAAATTAATTAATTAATTAATCAATCTGTGGCCAATGCAAATCGCTAATCGCAAATCGTGAATCTGCTCGGTTTTTCTTCTCAATGTTGTTTAGCTGAAGCATGGTTTTCACTTTTTACACCATGTTTGTTGGAACACACCAACATGCATTTGCGAAGAGAGAGAAAGGATGTGTCTATTGTCGATTAGTTCGTTACGTTATGTTGAGGCGCGGGTGATGGATGAATGGAGAACGTGATGTTAATTTATTAATTAACCAAAATTATGTTATTACAATATATATTTAGAAAAAAGTATGTGAACATTCATTGATTATTGACAAAGTAATCAATGTGCCTCTGTTGCATGTGTATTGTCCAATTAATGAAGAAAGTAATATGTGCTTTTCTTTTCTTTTCTTTTCTTTTGCTTTCATCGACTTCTTCTTTATAACTTCCCGTGTTTTTTAACCTTGTCTCCTTCATCTGCTTAAAGAAGCAAAAGTTAACTAAATCATTTCTTTAAATAATCATCATAATGACTAACTACAATATGGAAAGAGAACACCAAAAATATCGGTAATAAAATATTAAAAAGAGAATTATAAAAAAAATGAATTCCTTTATGTAATGTAATTTATTGACTTTCTCGTGAACAAAACTACAAAATACATATTTGTAATTAATTCAGGAATGACTAATTAGATTAAACTAAACATTTATTTGTTTTTTTTTAAGGGAAACCACTTAGTTTAATAGCATAATTATAGGATTTACCCCAAAAAAAATTATAACTGATTCGTTGGTTTCAACTAGCCAGCGTCACTTTTTGGGAGCAAGATGATGGCTGAGCAATATGACATGGTCTATACTCTTTAAACATATGTTGAAAATAAGAAATAAAAAATATGGATATTAATTGAGTAAAGAGTAATTTAGTATTATTTGTAAAAATATTTATTTTCAGCAACACACAAACAAAAAAACACTAATTATAATTAAATTTTGATAAAGAATAAACAACACACATGGATGTGTATATATTTTACCAAAATAATTTAAATACATAAACTCCACTTGTATAAAAAAATTGAAGAGGAAGAAAAAAAAAATCCCCCTCCTGGTTTTGGCGGGAAAAGAAGTTATAACCTTTTGATCAAGTGCGAGGTCAAGAGCGTCATTTGGTTTGTTTGCATACTTAAGCCTAAAACCATTACCAAATTTAATTTGTTTGAAATAAAAAGGTCTTAAAGTGATGATAAAAAATTAAAAGATACATGTAACAGTCTATCTTCCTATCTAGCTCATCTATTGCAGACAAGCAAGCTCAATTGGTTATACAATAATGCTGGCACATCCCATGAATATTACCTGCAATGCTACAGATCGATCTAAAGAATGAGTCGTGTGTTGAACTCTCATATGAAAAAATTCTACAGTTCACTAAATGTAGTAGATGAGATCTGGCCACACACAAGACTCGCTAGTGTCCACAACTGTAAATGTTTGTTCTTCAGTCATTACAAAGTCATCCATGCATGGTCCCACGTTTCTTATGAGCCACTCCGAGCTCGAGTCAAAAGTAATAATGTCATCGTTACGGGACAACTACTAGCAATGACTTAAACATGTAAGCGTAGGAGACATTATATATCATCATAACGGATGAATGAAAGCACTAATTATCTGAAAGAGAACTAAAACACAGAGAGATGAAGTAGACTGCAATGAGGAAGCTTGACCACGCAGCAACAATTACAGTTGGGTGTGCAAGTTGGATGACAGAGGTAGGGGTGAGAGGAAAAGACAAATGAGGAGTAGGAGAGGAGGGGGAAGATTGGTTTATTTGTCATTTTAGTGTTTTTATGAGCGGAGTGTGGGGGAATAGCCGTGATCCACAGTGAATGACCCAACTCATATGCCCTTTGTTTCTTGTAAAGGCAATATTAGACATATAAAGTGAACAAGATTCTTTGTTTTAAAATAGTTGTTATAACTAATTGCTAAAAATTCAAAATACTTAAAATACTCTATAACTAAATTACTCTATTAAAATACTCTCTCACACCTTTAACAAAATATCTTACACGGATGGAACACCAGTATTAAAGTCTGTTTCACTAGCTAGCAGAATCACTGAAATGGGATTAAAAAAAAAAATTAGATACTCATTTGTATTACCGATTTTATGGAATAAACTCATCTTTTTATTGTGTATAGATATTGTTCCAATTCCTGCAAGGATGTCCACTACATAACATATACCGTGTATAAAGAATAACTTCGTGTAAAGAAAAATGTTCAGGAAAAAAAAAACATACAAGAATTGGAACAAAACATACCAGAAATGAAAATACCAACAAGTCCACCTTCCATAATATAATCAAATTAATTTTGTTTATGCTTGTAATCGAATGAATTTAAGTATACCTTGTAACTAGAACTATATGAGAAAATAAAATATAAGTACATATGCCTAAAGTGGCATAATCTGCAACACGAGCGTAATCAGAGGAAAAAGGATTTTCTTTGTTGATTACGTATTAAAAAACTGTCTGGTCAAGATTTCTTACAGCGCTTCAGTTGTGGCCGAGGATAAAAATAGAATTAACCATACGGCCAAACTAAGTAATAAGAGTAAGCTATAACTATGGAAACTTGAAAAAGCCTGTAAGTAATATTTTTCCCCTCAAAAAGACGTAGGCGCAAATGAGTACGGCATTTGCAACTGATAGTTCCACTGGATTAACATTTGTAAGGTAAAACTTCACCCAATATTTCTAATCTTCGGTAATCTTTTACCCAACATTCAGCTCCAACAGTTCTATCGGCCAAAATGCCAAACAAATAACTCTGAAAAGAATAACATTCTATGACCCGAGAGAGAATTCAAGAGTGGTTAAACCAGGGTCCAACTGCACCATTTACATGGCCGTTGCTGTGGATCCCTACACCATTTGGGATGATTGAGGGAGGCAGTCCCACAGCCATTGGTGGCGAGGCAGCTGGATACAATCCATGGGTGTGAGGGAGAGCATGGGGGCTCACAAGAGGGCTCCCAGCAGGACTCCCCTTACGCTGTTGAATGGCATGGATCTGCCTAAGCCCATCTTCATGAATACGTGATAGTGTTTCCAACTCTTTCAATGACAAAGCCTCCAGACCAGCACCATATAGAGGGGCATGTCTTGACATTTCCTCCTGGAGTGAGGCCTCAAGTGTGTGAATATATTGCTACAAAAGGAAAACAAAGGCATTAACCTACAGAATTTATGTATAAGCATAAGGGTAAAAGAGACAGATAACAACAGACAGTAGCACCAATTTAAACACCTATGAATCGTTACCAATCATGGTAAAATAGTCATTTTACATTATTTTCCAATCCAGAAACGTACTTCTATAAAGCTGATTTTGAAGTTTGAACTAAGGATACTTTTGAACTATAAATTAGAGAATAGATGAATGAAGCAATCTACTACAGTTAGTAGAACACGGCAATGACCTATATTAAAAATACCGAGTAAAATTCACGATTCACATTATTTGTATCCACTTTATTATGGTTTGAAGGTTAGCCAACAAAATCTGCTCACAATTCAACTAAGCATGGCAGAAAATATATTACATATCAAACAACTAGTTCAAAACAGCAAGTTCCACTGCTGACGTAGGTTTAACCCCCCATCAAATAAGTTGATCACGCAAACATATAAGGTGATAAACTATTAACAAATTATAAAAACAGTAGGAAAAGTAAAAATGCTATGTCAAGACAAACCTGGCAAGCTTGCAACTTTGATTCCATGCCATCAATATATGCTTCACACCTAGCAACCTGCTCTTCCTTCTCCCTCTTTTCCCCTTCCGTTTGTCCAACAGTTTGAGTCAATCTCCGGACTTCATCTTCAAGTGATTGCCGAATTTCCTCCCGAGTCACATTCTCTGTTGCAAATCTTTTCAGTTCTTCATCAAATCTCTTGCGAGCAGCTTCAGCATTTTTCAACCTTTCAGCTAGAGCATTTTTCTCCTTGACTATTTTCTGTATGTAATAAGATTCACATTAATTTCAATTTGACCCCACTATACACAATGAAAAATTAAGGGCCGTTTAATTTGAAAAAGAAAATTTATTTTTTTCATTTCCTGTTTTCACTTAGTTACAAAAACGCCACTGTTTTCACTTCTCTTCCTATCATCTATTTTCAAAATGTTGTACAGGAAACATGGAAAAAAGAAAATGGAATTAGAAAACCATGAAAAGTTGTTTTCACTAAATGAAAACAAACTATATCCCCGCACCAAAATGAAAACAAGGTAACATTGTTGTAATTAAAGGTGAAAGGAAAAATCTCAAACCAACCAGCCCCACTAATCAATTCAGAACCAAAATGGAGCTTCTTTCACTGGCCCACCATTTTAAGAGTGCCATATTAAAAATAAGTACATATAATTTCCATAGAATTATTTCAAACACTTATTGATTGATAAATATCACCAATGAGATTGTTGATGATAATCAACAAAAACGTAAGACTGAATATAAAATAATCAACTATGTTACTTTCTTTCAAGTAATTTGATAAATGAAATAAAGGATGACTAAAGAAGAGAACAATATAGCTCATAATTCAAGTCAAGGACCAACACTTTGAAAAAGAGAGAAGAGGATAGTGACGTGTGAGGTTAAAGAGAAGAAAGAGGGGAGAGATAAAGAGGATAGAGCAAACTGGAGGAGATGGTATTAGAGTAGATCCAGCCCCATTACCCGAAGACTGGGAGTGACTTATACACTAATGCCATGATTTCCCATGATTGAGCATAGAGATTCTTTGGGTTTTGAAAACCCCTCAGTACACTTGGCTAAGTATGAGTAAAATTTAACTACGGTATTTCATTCAAGATGTACACACAAAATTTTAAAAAATTATTGTAAGCATAAAATGTTTACTGCATAGTATTTAAAATAGCATAGCTCAACACCTTTCATATTTTCAATGGAGAAATTCAAA